GGCTTACATTCTATTTATATCTCCTCCTTTTGCAAATAAAGGGACTGGATGACCTCTACTTGCCTTCAATATCACAAAAAAGTAATTTCTGAATTCCTATGCTTAATTGAGAGACTTTGGGAACACTTGGAAATGAATTATAGTCTCACCAGATGAGCCAAGGTGAAGTGAGGAGGAATGAATAAAGAGTGAACTGAGTATTCTGGAGCTTTATTAATTCACCTCTAATATCCCAAACAGGCAGTTGTTAGGGTAATTTCATTCATTCATTTATTCATTTATTCAACAACCAAGTGATAGGTATTTTACTAGGTCCTGGAAATACAAGAATAGTGAAATAGTTTTTCTCAAGAAATCTAAATTCTACATGGAAAGGGGGAAGCAATATTTATTCAGGTCAATATAAAACATGCACCAAGTCACTGTATTCATTAACTCCAAAACCAGCATTTTTTGATCCTTGAAATGCTGAAGTAGATCATAAATCTGATGCTAGAGAGACCCCAAAAACCACCTAATCCAATCCCCTCATTTATGGATGAAGAAACTGTGACCCAGGCAACTTCAGTGATTTGTCAAAGGTCACATAGACAGTGAGCAACTGAAGCATGATTTGAACCCAGGTCCTCTTACTCTAGAACCAATGCTCTTTCCATGGTACTATGTGATAGGATATGATTCTGACTGTAATTGTAGTTAACCCCTCAGAGCTATCATTTCCTAAAATGTGAAATGGGCTTATAATGCTAGTATTTCCAATTTCACAGGGCTTTCATTAGTACATTAATACAGTGTTTTGAAAACCATAAATCACTATAGGAAAGCTGGTGTGGCATATTAGATAGAGAGATGGCTTTAGAGACAAGAAGTCCTGTGTTTAAGTCTTTTTTTTTTGAAAGTTTATTTTTCTTTTTTAAAATTTCATTTTATTTTATTTTTATTTTTTGGCTAGGCAATGGGGTTAAGTGACTTGCCCAGGGTCATACAGCTAGTAAGTGTTATATGTCTGAGACTGGATTTGAACTCAGGTCCTCCTGAATCCAGGGCCGGTGCTCTATCCACTGCGCCACCTAGCTGCCCCTCCTGTGTTTAAGTCTTGACAAAACATACTAACTACATATTGCAGGTCAAGTCACAGAGACTCTTTGCACCCCAGGCAAATGTCTAAAGCTATAAGGTGTAGAACAGGTGCTTATCTGCATTGATAGAGGAAATTTCCTCAATGGCCCAGGTTTGACACCCCCTCCCCAAATCATTATATATGTGGAAGTTGGTATTATAATGTGGGGTATGTTTTGTACTCTACAAGCCACTTATGATCACTGAATCTCAGACCTTTTCAAACTTTTCATTACAGATTATGAAACTGAGGCTGAGGAGGTAAATTAATTTGTTTCAGGTCACAACAAAGGCCCATTTAAAAAAATACCAGCACTCTACTGATGTTGGTGTGGCCTCAAGATGTGAGTTACAACAGCCTCTGAAGAATTAAAAATGAATGTCACAGAGAAGGAAATGGAGAGGCATGTGGTAGATGTGTACAAGCTGTAACATATGGGAGGAACTCTAAAGAACAAGAATAATAGATACCATCAAGGAAATGTGTGATAAGAAGAGAAGTGGGACTTCCTATGACAAATGTATGGGAGGACATGGATAAGTGTTGCATAGGAAAATCAGGAAAATGGGTTGCAATTAGCATCATTAGAGAAAACTTTCAGATAAGATGACAGGTCCTTTTGAGCCTGGGATCTAGCTAGCATCATAGTTAAGATTGAAAAGGTGCTTAGTGAATGCTTATTGATTGATTTACTTTGGTCAGTCCGGTGATTGTACCACCATACTTTGCTGGCACCAAGCTATTACTAGTAGTGAGCTAACAACATTACCATTTCCAAATATTTCAACTGTAGAATTTCAGGACAGTAGAAAGTGACGGTGACAGCTGTTGGCTCATGCCTTCAAATGACAATTTTTTCTGGCACAGGTCAATAGGCAATTCTCTTTTTCAGGCTGATTGCCCACCTCATCTTCTATTGTAATCATGAAATAATTTGTATATTGTTAATCTTCTAGAGTGTGGACTTCCAGGGTTCAGAGCTCAGGAGATCAGAGTCCATGAAAAGCTACTTTTAGGGCATAAGTAAGGGTTCATATCCCAGTGAGATGGGAGAGTCCCCAGGAGGTTCAGAAATGGACCTTGGGAATATGCTTTGCTTCAAATAGACTGGCCAAAAGAGGCGGGCGAGATCACATGAAATAGTACTTGTGGCGTTCTCTGGCTTTGTTCCATTCATAATGGGAAATTGATTAGATGAGATGTCTTTGGCACTATCCAGTTAAGCTTGTTATTATCCAAATTTGTCAATATTCCAAGACATCATATCAAGGCTGATTAAAAGCATTTTGAAGAGGAAGCTCTAGCAGTATTGAGAAAACAATGGACTTGGAGCTAGAAGATGAGGGTCTGACACTTGCTGATTAACCTTGGGCAAGTCATTTAATCTCTCTAAGGCTGCTTCCTTTTCTATAAATGGAAATAATAAAATTGTACAACTGATGTCATACTAGGGAAAGGCCTTGCAAACTGTAAAAAAAAAATAGCAAGGATATGAGTTATTATTGTGGACATAGTCTCATCTATGTCAAATTTTCAGTTTAATACTGCTTTGAGAAGGCATAGAGAAGTTGAGATGCATATTGATGAAAGGAGAACCCATACTGAAGCTGAAGACCACTCAAGGTAGAATTGCCTTTATTGTACAAATAATAGTCATCAGCATATAAATATTTTTACTTGTGTGAGTTTTGTATGTTTCTTGCCCCATATTTATTATAGAACTATGGAATTTTAGACTTGATAGAATCATCGATATAGAAGAGATCCTCGAAGACACAGTCTTTTTTTTTCTTTTTCTTTTTTTTAGCAATCGAGGTTAAGTGACTTGCCCAGGGTCACACAGGGTCACACAGCTAGTAAGTATCAAGTGTCTGAGGCCAGATTTGAACTCAGGTCGTCCTGACTCCAGGGCTGATGCTATAACCACTGCACCACTTAGCTGCCCCAAAGACACTGATTCTAAATCCCTAATTTTACAGGTAAGGAAATTGAGGTTTAGAGAAGTTAAGTGACCTTCCCATGGTCACACAGCTAGTTAGTATCAGAAGGATTATGAACCCCATTCTTCCTGGTTTCAAGTCCAGCACTCTATTCACTATGCCATGCTCCCTCAAGAGCATGAAGAAAAAAAACAGACCTCGAGTAAAACAAGTACAAGAAAATAAAAATAATTCACAGAAGTTGATGTAGGTAGCTACTAACAATAGTGAGACTGATTTCCTGGACCTGTGTTCCTTTCACTCTATCTCACTTCTCATGAAGCACTGGAGCTGGGAACATATTCTTCAGTGATTTAGAATCACAGGATTTAGAGGTGGATTTAGAGATCACCTTTGTATTGTCCCTGCCCCTCCCCTCAACAGAATGTTAGCCCCTTGAGAGCAGAGATTGTTTTATTTTTTGTCTTTGAAGCCCCAGAGCCTAGCTCAGTGCTTGACATGTAGTAGGAGCTTTTAAAATGCTTTTTGATTAATTGATCTCTCACAAACTTGATGAAAGAGAACATTTCTGAAAGTGTTTTGGTATAAATGTGCCACTCCTAAAGTTACTTCTAAACATTATGCATTTATTCCCTCTGTGTACTTGTTTCCCATCTATAGAATATAAACTCTTTGAAGGCAAGGTCTATCTCAATTTTGTGTTGGTCTCCCAGAGCTTACAGAGTCAGTACGGCATGGCGGAAAGAGAGCTAGCCTTGGAGTCAGGAAAAGCTGGTTTCAAGTCCAGCCTTTGACACATAGTAGATATGTGACATTAGGTAAGTCTCTTAACCTCTCAGTGTCCAAGGCAATTTTCTAAGACTGAGCTGTGGAACAGTTGCTGAGCTGCATTGGTAGAGAGTAGGTGGTTTGGTCCAAACCAAATTCTAGAGCCTAGCATAAAGCCTGTTAAATAGTAGGCATTTAATAAATGCTTATTGAATTGAAATGAGATATACTTTGATTAATGTGGAAATAGGCTTAATATGATTTAATATGAATATGAATTCATAATTTAATTAATTTAATTAATATGATATAAATTAATATAGGTTTAATACATGAGTAGCCTATATCAGATTGCATGTTGTTTTGGGAAGCAGAGAGGGGAAGAAGGGGGGAAAATTTAGAACTCAAAATCTGATAAAAGTGAGTGTTGAAAATGAAAAATAAATAAATAAATTTTTAAAAAGAAAAAGGATATGCCTGAAAGGCCTTTGTGTGATTTCAAAAGGGGCAGTTCAATACTGAATTATTCAAGCAGCTCAGTGGAAAGTGCTTTGTATCTGGAATCAGGGACTTAGGTTTGAATTTCAGCTCTTCTGTTTACTGAGTGAGCTGGAGCAAGTCACTTAAACTTCTCTGGGTCTCTGTTAACTCATCTATATAGTAAGCAGGTTGGACTAAGGCAAGAGAATTCAGGTTCTCTAATGCATTCACTATTCGCAGCAGGACTCAGTGAGGTAGTTCAAAGTGGAAAGTACATTGCTTTTTGGTTTCAATGGACCTAGGTTTAAACCCTGCCTCCAATGCTTACTGCCTCTGTGAGTTTAGGCAAATCATTTAAGCACCCTGGGAACCAGTTTCTTCACCTGTGAAATTGGTGCTGATGAAGGGGGTGGTGGGTGGAGGGTTAAGACTAGATGGCTTATGTGGTCCTTTCTAGCTTTACATCTGTGATTCTATAGTCCTATGCTTCATTCTCCATCAACACACCCTTCCTTTGCTAAGTACCATGATTATACATCTTTCTTAGGAAGTCTGGACCCTTCCCCCCAATCCTCTTAGAGTAAGTAGAGATATCACTTTGTATATAAGAAACAATTGTGCTGTGTTTTCAGCCATACCAAACTGTCAGGAAATAAGAACCCTCAGCAGTGACACCAGATAATCCACACTACCTGCAGAAATCTCCTGCTGCTTCTGGCAGGGTCAGGGAGGCAATTGGATTTTTCATCAAGTCAGCGACAATGTTGTCCTTTGGAGTCACATAGAAGAAGGGAATCCCAGTGCTGTTGTTGAAGGGACCATCACTGATGGGTAAGCAGTTCCCAAAGGGCACACCCTTGATCTGACAAATATAAGGGAAAACTTTTTAATAGTGAGCTACAGGCTGAGAATCTACTGCCCATTAAGAGATGTTCCAGTAGGGATGCTGAATCACAATGACAATAATAACATTCATATAATGATATAAGTGCTACAGTTTTATATTATCTCATTGATGTTTAAGGGGAGTAACTCTTGCACAGATGTATTAATCAAGGAAAGGTGATTTCTAATCCCACTATTTCCCCTACACTTATATCATGGTTAAGATTTTGGTGGCTGGCTTAAGAATACTTGAGAATGTCACCTAACTCTAAGTTCTTACAGAGGACTAGGTTCTGGATTCATCATTTCATCCAGTCTTTGGATTGCAGCAGTTTTTGTTTGTTCATTTTACACTTTTCCCCCTAAAGCACTACTCCTTGCTCATTTATTCACTGTCTTAGCCAAGACATTAGAGAAAAAGTGTCTCAGTTTGCTAGTACTTATGGGAGCATACTATGTCAACTTTCTCCCTGATCATTCCCCAGCAAGCAATTTCTTATTCAAATAATGAACTCATATGACCAGGAAAATGTTATTAGAAAGTATGCTATTCTATCATGGATTTGGTCACTCAGGGTCATAATTTCTCCATTTATTACATAGATGCGTAAATGTAGGGATTGGTCTTGGTCTGTTAGGTGTCAAGTTATGAGGTTAAGTGTAGAGCTAAGGATAAAAATAAAATTGGACCTATGATTTAATAGATGTAGGGAGTTCCCAATGAGGGACACTCCCTACCTTTTCATTGTGGCCCTTCCTTCTTAGAAAGTTGCCTAGAGCACTGAGAGGGTTGTGACTTGCCCAGAGTCACACAGCCAATACATGTCAGAGGCAGGATCTGAACCAAAGTTCTCCTGGCCCCAAAGTCTGAGTGGGTAGTTACAGTGTAAAATTATTCTAAATTTGTAAGAAAATTCATTGTTGGAAAGACCTCTGCTGTGATATGACTATTTGTAGACTTTCTTATTCTCATTTTTTATAATAGGCTATGATTTTAACTGTCAAAATTGATAAGAAAGACTATTACAATGCTAAGTAACATGAGTCAGAATCATGTCATTCTGGCATTGCATTTTTAATCATATATAAAGGTTGAGATCTTCACCTAAGATCCAGTATATATTTCAGTTTACCTCAGGTGCACATATGGCAGCAAAAAAGAGTTGTTAACTATATCAAGTATTTAGCCATGACCCATTGAAACTCATACTAAACGTGATATTTTCAAAAGTTGATATAATCAAGATCAACAGATGATTTATCATTAATTATGATTTGGGGTTCACACAGTCAGACTCCCTCATTTTATTGTTGGAAAACTGAGGCTATGAGAGGTATAGTAATTTGCCCAAGTTAACACATATAACCCCTGGTAACATTATGTATAGAAACCACATTTCTTGCCTTCTAGTCTTAAGCTCAGTGGGTAAAAGCACTGAACCTGGAGTCAGGAAGACAGGAGCTCAAATCCAATCTTGGACACTTACTAGCTATATGACCCTGAGCAAGCCACTGAATTTCTGTCTGCTTTGGTTCTTCATCAGGAAAATGGAGATAATAATAGCTCCTACTTCCAAAAGTTATTGTGAAGATAAAATGAGATATTTGCAAAGTGCTTTACAAACTTTAAAGCACTATGTAAATGCTACCTCTTAATATTATCAGGTTATGTTTTGTTAAATTGTACATTAAGTTCTTCATTATTTGGATTGAATAATACCATTTAAATGAAATAGGGATTATTTGTGGCATAACATGTAGAAGAATGCCAAGATTTTAATTTCCTCAAAGCTTTCTGTAAGCCATATTGTGAGAATTAAATTCTCATTATTTATTCATGCCATTTGAACCCACAGATGGAATTACCACTTGTCTTACAAGTCATCATATTATTTATAGTTCCAAAGGAGAAGATTCTCTGACATTTGATTCAAATTTATGTGCTATTAAGTTTAGGGGGGAAAACCTGCTGTTTAATAATAGCTCTTCATCATGTTTGTAAACTTCAATATATACTATTTATTAAGAAAGGAAGCCCATGAAATCAGGAGTGAAAATGATTAATTTGGAAATGGTTTTTTAAAACTTCAAGTAAACCTCTAGTTGTTTCCTGTGTTTCACTTCCTTATATCGTGGGCAATGGAAGATTTTTGGTTTTAGTGGGCAACTGGGATAAGAGGTTGAATAATTCTGTCTGTCTGTAGAGTCAGTTTTTCCATAGGGCCTCTGGTTGGACCCTTGTATCCCTTCTCTGGAAGCTTATTCAAACTCAGATCCTTGGTGCTAAGACACCTAGCTGGAACCTGGCAGTGACCTCAGTCCTATATTTTGCCAGTATAATGGAATCAGCCTTGCTCCATTGCTCAGACTGTGTCTTTTACAGGACGCTCACATTTCTCAAAGACAGTCAAATTCAATCCTAAGGTTGTGTCTTTTGAGAATAGTATGAAAACACATGAGTTAATGGCAACACATCATTTGTCTCATCTACATGCTGCATGATTTCCTAGACAGGGAGGGTTGTTTGTGGAGTGATTCTCATACAGCAGGCAGTTGCCGTCAATACATCTGCAGACCCCTCCCTTAGAGCTACTGGTGGGTAAAGGCTATTTTTCTGGCTTTTTTATTATTCATTTTTTGTTTGTTTTTTTAAAGAGGGAGAACGTTAAATTCTTGGCACAGATATGTTAACTTACCTTTTCCTGGGTAGATACAGTAGCCAGAAAGCCCCAGCTGTTAGTGTGAGCCAGGGATCGGGCAGTCCTGATGATCTGCTTGTGAGGAGGAAGGTTGCCTGTCCCTTTGGAACTTTCTCTTCTGTAGGAAAACATCCTGGAAGGAGAGGAGATCTGCTTAGACCTCTCCACCCCTTGCCTGGACCTCATTTCGCTGTCTTCTTTATAAACAGAGGCCGGGTAGCTTTGCTTCCAGATGCTCGTGGTGTCTTCGAGGAGCGAAGGCAGCGCCTCCTCGTTGGAGGAGCTGTCCAGCTCTTCCTCTGCCTCGTTGGTAACTGACCAGGAGACCGAGCTCACAATCACGTACCCCCAGACAGGAGAGAGCGTCGCGCTGCACCAAAGCAGCCAGAACAGCCAGGAGATGAATGCGATCTTTCTCCCCAGCAGCCTGTGACAGCACAAGACAGACATTTTGTAACAAACACTCCGCGCTGTGACCCACGCAGTCTTGCCAAACCCGAGCCTCTGGAATGATCGCAGCACCCTCCTGTGGCAGAGAGAAGGCAGTGGGAAGACAAATTGAGTTTCTTTCTAGGCTTAAGCAGCCTTGTAGGGCTTTCTGGGCAGGGACCTCGCAGGTTGAGCACCAGAAATACAAGAGGGAGCTGGTTAAAGAATCTGAAGCCCCCACTACAATCCCACAAGGAACTAACTAATTTGCTGGTGGTAAAGAGTCCCTCAGATTAAGAGGTTGAAGGTAGAGGGATGTCCCCACCAGCCACCAAATGTCAGCTTTATTTGATTCATATTGGGAGAGGGATGTAATGTAACAATTTGTTCCTATCTCACAAGCTTTGATTATTTTCTAAACATTAAAGCCTTTAAACACTTCAATTGCTTACTATTTCTGGTGATCCGAGAGCGTGGAAAACACTCTGAATTTGGAATCAGAGGACTTTAGTTTGAAACCTCCCCCTTATGCTCCTTTAAGGCTGTGCTTTTGTGCCTTCTTTTCCTTTCTAGATAGCCATTGGTGGTTGTGATGGGAAGAGAAAGAAAGGAAGGTGGAGGAAATACAATGAAAGTAAAGCAAAGCAAATAAGTGAAAGGAACGGGTTTATAGAACCTTGGAATTTTATGGTGAGTATGTACCTTAGAGATTTCTTGACTGAAACATGAATCTCCTCAGTAATATTCCCAACAATTGGACCTCAGTTTCCTCAACTATAAAGAACAGGAATTTGAGGTAGATGATTTCTCTTCCAACTCTCAATCCTACTCTAGCATGAGCTGGTCTAGCCTGGTAGCCTTATTCTGATTTCCCATCCCCATCTAGTCCCAAAATCATTTAAAAATTATTATTACTTTTGAGCATAGTTCTTTTACCAATGAATTGTGGTTTTTCACGTGTTTTTCTAATACTCTCCTAACCTGAACCATAGAAGATCACAATATCTTAGAAATTAGTTAATCTAACTCCCTTATTTTACAGATGAGGAAAAATTAGAAGTTAAGCCACTTGCCTAAGATGACACAACTAGCTGAAATTAGATTCTTGATTCCCAGTCTAATGTTCCCATTAGATGAAATGGAATCATTCTACTTCAGTACAACAGAGAAGTTATTACTGGAAGTTTTTATATTTGAAGTATTAGAACATGTCTTGCTAGATATATGTTTTGATATTGGCACTATGATCATAAGATCCATAATTCTTGAGGCATCTTAAAAGTTACTTAGTGCAACTTCTTTTTTTTAATAGTATTTCCCCAATTACACATAAAAACTATTTTTCAGTCATTTTTAAACATTTTGAGTTCCATATCTCTCCACCTCTCCCTTCCCTCCTTCCTCCCTGAGTTGGAAAGCAATTTGATATAGATTATACATATGCAATCATGTCAAACATATTTCCAACTTTTTATTATAGGTGAAGAGACTGAGACCCCATAGGGGTTTAGTGACTTTCAGAAGCTTCCCCCCCCCCGGGAGTAATTGGCAAAGCCAAGATTCAAACCATTTTGTTCTACATCTAGTGCTCTTGAACTTTTATTTGGAATATTGTTGTCCTCAAAAACATGTTCATGTTAAATGCAATGAAGAGATAAGGTGAACTCAGAATTTTTAACAGGTTTTGGATTTCAAGAAGTCCCTTCTTTCAGTGCTCTGCATTTCACTCTCTGATCATTCAATGTTGTCTAAGTCATACACTCACTTCATTTCCAGCCCCCCTCCCCTTGTGGACTTTACCTTTCTTCTTAATAGCCTGTACTACAGGGCTCCAGGATAGCCATCAAAGGAATAAAAAAACTGACTTCTTCTGCAGCTGGAATTAAAAAGGTCTTAAGTTGATCTACATAAAGTCAGCTTATAAACACTGGGCACCAGGTACCATTAGCCAACCGTGAAGTGCATCTGTCCAACTTTCCTTCCTTTTCTTCTTCTTACCTACCCTCTTCCAAAAATCAGATTCTGCTTTCACAGCTTCTCCTCAAGGCTGTCCTTGATAGAGATGGTAATAGGAAGAGGAGAAGAGTAAGGGAAGAAGGTCAGAAGGAGATATGATAACGGTAAAGGAAAGAAAATGAACAAAAGGAAAGGATATATATTGAATCTTAGAATTTTAGGATTAGGATAGACCTTAGGGGTCACCTAGGGTTAGCCCTTGTCTGAAAAATGACCATCTCCTGCAAGATCCTTGAGAAGCAGACAGCCAAACTCAGTTTGGAAATCCACCCTCAAGACTTAGAGAAATCATATATATTTTATATTTTATATTTTTGTTTTTATTTATTTATTTTCTGTTTTTACATCATCTTCATTTCCTGAACTACTCCCTCCCAATCTGAATCTTGGGATTTTAGAGGCAAATTTAACTTCAGAGGTCAAGAAATATCCCTTCATTTTAAAGATGAGGAAATTGAGATCCAGAGCAGATATAGGATATTACATAGGTAATAAATGGTAGAGATGGAGCTAGAACCTGGCTCATCAGACTCCAAATTCAATGCTTTTCCCAGTAAAGCATATTCATGCAAATCTTTGTAACTGAAGTCCTTAGTAGTAGTTTAAGAAATTTACTTTTTATGATGAACAGGCTGACTTCAGAAAAACCTGGAAAGACTTATATGGTCTGATGCTGAGTGAAGTGAGCAGAACCAAGAGGACTTTGTACACAATAACAGCCATGTTATGCAATGACTAAGATTGTTAAACTGAACCTTTCTCAGCATTATGAGGATCTAAGACATCTCCAGAGGCCTCGGGATGGAAAATGCTGTCCACATCCAAAGAAAGAACTATGGAAGTTGAATCGCTATAACTTACTTTACCTTCTGTTGAGTTTTGTTTCATCTTTCTGATGGTTCCTCCTATTGGTTTTAATTTTTTAATTTTACTTACAACTTCACTAATGTGAAAATATGTTTAATGGGTATGTAAATGTAAAGCCTATATCAGATTGTGCACCATTTTGGGGAGGGTGGGGGGGAGGAAGAGGGAAAAAAATTTTCAACTCAAAAGCATGTGGAAGTGACTGTTGATAAATCAAAATAAATTAATAAAATTTACAAAAAAAAGAAATTTACTTTTTAAGTATTTTATTTTTTTCAATTACATGTATAGACAATTTTTGACATTAATTAAAACATTTTTGAGTTCCAAATTTTCTTCCTCCTTCCCTTCTCTCCCTCCTCCCTAAAAATGTAAGAACTTGATAGCATATTTCCATATTAGTCATACTGTGAAAGAAGAAACAGTCTAAAAGGAAAATACTATGAAAAAGACAAAGCAAGTAAAAATAGGATGCTTTGATCTGCATGCTGATTTCAGAAATTTTGATATTTTGATGGTTATTTTCAAAAAAAGAAGGTTCTAATGAGCACCAGGAAATTAATTTTGATAAAATGAAGGTACTGGTGTGCATTCTGCCAATTAGCTAAACTAAAGCCCATATTCTCCACTTAGGCTTTAGTTAATTTTGATCTGTGCTGTAGGAGAGAGTGCACATATTAAATCATGAATCTTTTGAAACAGCAAAATAAAAGGTATGGGCCACCTAAATATTCCCCTCAAATCCATTCTAAATGTCAAAGTTAGAAGGCAGACAAAATTCATTATATTTCTATGATGCTGATGGGAAAAGGTGGTGGGCAGGTCATGGAGCAAGAATGAGGGATAACAAATAAATAGCATGAGTATTGGTACCTAACAAATATAAAAAGACACAAAACATCTTTCAGCACATATCTTCTATAAAGGGTTTTGGGGAAGACAAAGATAAGAATTGCACAGGATAAGAATGCATGGATGGAGCTGTGATGTGCATGATTAGAGGGAGTGGTTTATCTCCCTTAATGTTAATGCCTTCCTTCTATGGATTATCTCCAATACATCCTGTATATAGGTTCTTCCTGTATAGTTGTTTGCATATTGTTTCCCCTCATTAAACTATGAGCTGCTTCAGACCAGGGACTGTCTTTTATCTTTCTTTGTATCTCAATGCTTAGTGCAGTACTTCACATATAATAGGTGCTTAATAAATGTTTATTGTCTGGCTAACTACATTGATGAAATTATTGATCTTTTGAAGTATGAACTGCTTATTAGACATTTCCCACTAGCTGCTCCATGAGCATCTTAAATTCAATATGTTCAAAGAGGTACTCATTATCTTTACTCCCAAATCTACTGCTCTTTTAAACTTTGCTAGTATTGTTGAGGGCACCAACATCTTTCTAGTCACCGAGGTTCACAAGCTCTGTGTTGACTTTTCACTTTCACTTACCTCGCATATTCAATCATTTTTTTGTTTATATCTCCACATCATACATACATATATATATATGTACACATACACATACACATACATACACATATATGTATATACATATATATGTATATATGAAAAAGCATACACACACACACACACTCTTCTACACTCATCTTTATTCAGGGCCTCATTCCTTCTTGCCTGGATTATTGCTTCAGCCTTCTATTTGGTCTTACTATCTTAAGTATCTCCTTACTCTAATCTATCTTCCACTCCACCACCAAATTGACTTTATTAAAGCACCATTCTGATCCTGTCACACCTCTGCTCAGCAAACTCTAGTGGTTTCCTGCTGCTTCTAGGATAAATATAAACTCCTTCTTTTGACATTAGAAGCTCCTCATAACATGAAATCTTCCTCCCCCTCTAGTTTTCTTACACATTACCTACTCCCCACAATGTACTTCTAGCCATACCAGCCTCCTCACTGTCCTGCACACAGCACATGTGGTACTGCATCTTTTGTCTCCATGACTTTATATAGGCCATCCCCCATGCCTGGGATGTACTCTTCATGCAACTGTCACTTGGAATCTCTGGCTTCCTTCAAGATTCAACTCAATTGCTACATTCTATATAAAACCTTTCCTGATACTGTCAGATCCTAGTACCCTCACTTTTCAAACTACCTTGTATTCACTTTGCATATATTATCTATCTATCTATCTATCTATCTATCTATCTATCTATCTATCTGTCTGTCTATCTATCTACCTATCTAGATTTTTTGTTAGAATGCACATTAATATAACCCTTAGCTCAAAGAAATTTGCATAAGATGCTCCTTATTGGTGGAGATTACTCAACATTCCATGTGATCATCTACAGAAGAGCAAAGCTGGGGAGCATTTGGGAGAACAGAGATATTGGTCTTTGGGCTTCCAGCTTCAAGAGAGAAGATGTGTAGTTCCAGACTCTCTTCAGGTCCCCAGAGAGTAAGACTCTGAGAAGAAGCCAGTATGTGAATGAGCTGACACCTCAATTATGTCCATATTCCCAGCTTACTAATTTAGAGATTTCAGGGAATTTCCCCTTGGATGAAATCTGGGATACTCTTAGTTGAGCTAAAATATTTCCCTCCCACTGATAGAGCTCATTTACTCTGTATATTGTCTGGCACATATTCTCAACCATATACTTTCTCTGATTCATATTTGTTATTGGCTTAGATAAATATTTTTATTTGCTATTTGCAGTGTGTGTTCACTGTGAAACTGGCATTTGGTGGGAAGGGAATAAAGCCTCAGATATATAGCTTGGGGTGACCATTCCCCATTGAGGGATAGTAATCAGGAGTTCACTTTGAACCTAAAAATTATTTCCTCTAGACTAATAATATTTGGGGTTAGGGACAGGTAGCTATAAATCTTGCCTAATATCCCCTAACTCTGAGGAGAGAAGAGTGGCAAATATCTGTTTTCAACCTCCTAATTCCCCTCTTAGAAGGAAATCAGTCTTCCTTGGAGAAGGGTGGGGGGATAGAGGTAGAGGTGGAGACTCTAGAAATATCTATTCATGCCTCCCTATGAGCCACATGTAGAGACCCCTATGTGGACACACATAACTGACATGGACAAAACATACCATGTACCAACTCTTACTATATAAAATGTGAATATGTACATGTTTTATTCCTAATTAAAATGTAAGCTCCTTGAGGGTAGAGGCTGTTTTATTTTTATCGTTGTATCCACTTAGCACAGTACATGGAATAAAGTAAGCAATGAATAAATGCTTAATTATTATGACTATCACATTAACCTTTATAGAAAACACAACATTTTAGAAGTGGAAGAGCCCTTTGAGATCAGTCTAATACCCCCATTTGCAGATGGTAAAACTGAGACCCAAAGAGGTAAAGAGGTCTTGCCTAAGGTCACTGTTAAGTGGTAGGGATGGGACTACAAACCTAATCTTCTAATTGCATATTCTCTGCCACCGACTAGCACTATGGCCTCTGATAAGCAACTCAACCTTTCTGACATGCATTATGGGACTTCCCTTTCTGGTTCCAATATCTCTAGTTGTTACTAGTCCCATTTCATTAGATATTGTGGCTGAAGGTTGGACTACCAATGACCTTGTTTATATACTGAATCAAGTTAGGTTGTTAATCTAAATGTTGTTATGTGATGATTTAATGATTTTTAAAACAAATGAATTACTGAGGATACATCCAATAATAAGTGATTAGGCACCTGGAAAAGCCAGCATGGTCTAGAAAATTGAGAGCTGGATTTGGAGTGAGGAAGACTTGCGTTCAAATCTCACTTTCAATACTTAGTAGTTGTATGTGAAGATTCCTTCACTCATTAGAGATTTAAACTGTATGTGCCTTGGGAAATTCTCTAGGACTTGGTGGAGGGAACTCTGGCACCAAGGGTTCATATGTAATAGAGGCTGCAGCTGTGATTTTCTGTGTGTGTGTGTGTGTGTGTGTGTGTGTGTGTGTGTGTGTGTGTGTGTGTGAGTGTGTGTGTGTGTGTGTGTGTGTGTGTGTGTGTGTGTGTGTGTGTAGAGTCCTTCCAGATGAGAAAGCTTGTTCTACTAATGTGGGTTGACAGCTCTGATGCAACTTATGGTCTCAAAATGTTTCCTACAGCACTGAGAAGTGAAATGAATTGCTCAATTGTGCTACTAGTGTGTACTAGAGGCAGTACTTGAACCTGGGACTTCCTGGTTTGGAGATCAGCTCTCTATTAAATATGCCACACTATTTAATATATATTTTATCTCTGATAGCATTACAATTAATGATTTATATAGGTTTAAAATGTAATTTTGTTCATCACATGTGAAACAATTGAAATTATGCTTTAGACCTAAATAAATCTTTAATTATAACATTAGCAGACATAAAAGCATATTCATGAAATTGCTCCTTTTAAGATCACTAGCCAGATACAGGGAAATAGATCTGCTTTGACACTGATATGCTTCTTAGTTTCAAATGGTTTTAATGCTTTGGCTATACAGAAAAAAGAAATAGAGGTAAAGTAAAAGAGACATCATTTATTACAGATATATGTGCTAAATTCTACCTTATCCCCCCCAAAATTGTTACGATAGAGAAAAAAGAAATTCTTTGATCCAGTGATTAAGTCCCACAGTGATATCTAATTATTTTCTTGCCATTCTTTGATGACTGAGAATTTCTTTCTACACATTCTGACGACCTAACAAAATAATGCTGAGGAGAAGGATTTTATTTTTCTTTTTACAGTTTGAACTGGTTTATGCTCTTTCAAACAGTGATAACTCCCACGAGTTTTGTCTTGTATGTAGCTCACTTCCTGGAAAGATTTCTTTGTTTCACGAGCTTCTCAGCTGTTAAGGACAAAAATAGAGTTACCAGGAAAGACTCTAAGAAATAGCAAGGAGGCAAAAAAAATTGAAATTAGTTTATGAGCTTGGTCAAAGCCAACCATTGGAAATACATCGAAACATAAAAAAGTCAAACAAAGCTACATCTACTGTGTACAGTAAAGCTCCTTTCATTTTCATTGCAAAAGTTGCCCAGGTAGTATACTTGAAGAGTGAAAATACAGTTTCCCTGTGTGTTTTACATATTCTTAAATATTAGCATTGGTTTCTGTGAAATAAACATTTTCAGGGCTCTGTGGTACATCTGAGGTATGAATTACAAACTTCTGTCCATCTTTTAAAGTTACAAGGGCTTCTTGCCCCACAGGAAGGTCTAATTTAACTGTGCTTTTAGTGGCTTTGTCTTCCAACAGTACTTGGATCAGCTGTAAGGAAAAAAGAAATAAAGCTTAGCATAATGTCCTTTATTATACTGGGATCTTTCCTTTTTTTCTAGAACTAAATTCCAAGAATATACTTTTTGTTTTACCCACTTAGTTAAGTCAAGTCAATAAGAATTTAGTAAGCATATACTATGAACCAGGCACTGTGCTACATACTAGGGATACAAAGAAAGGGGAAAAAAGTAATCTAATCCAGTCCTTACTCTGGAAGAGCTCAGTCTAATGAAGTAGACAAAATGCAAATGATTGTTGTATATATTCTTAGAAGGAACGCATTAGCATTAAAGGTTAGCAGGTAAGGCTTCTTGCAGAAGGTAGAATTTTTAGCTGTGACTTGATAGAATCTGGAGAAACCAGGAAATGGAGATGTACAGGGAGAACATTCCAGGCATGAGGGACAGCCAGTCAAAATTGACAAGAATGGGAGATGGATTGTCAAGTGATAGTAACAGCAAAGAGGCTAGTGTCACTGGTTGGCAGAGTGTGGAAGGGAGTAAGGTATAGAAACACTAGAAAGGTAGGAGGGTGTCAGGTTATGAAAGGCTTTAAAAGCCACACAGAGAATTTCATTTTTGACATTTGGTACCCATTAGTTTCTTAAATTTTGGACCATGGAACAATGAACTATGACACTTTGTTTGAAAAAGATCTTTCTTCCCAACAACCCTGTAAGATAGATAGTGCCAGCACTGTCATCCCCATTTTACAGATTATAATTTTTTATTGATGAATTTTAGTGTTTCATTTTTACAGATGAGGAAACTGGGGCTCAGAGAGCCCCTAGGAGGTTAAGTAGCTACTTGGAGGTGGGATTCAAACCCATGTATCTCGACTCTAAGGCCAGGAATCTTTCCACTACATCATGGGCCTCAAAGTACTTTCCTCAAAACCATCCAGTGTGGAGGAAGGTAACATAGGTCTTATTGCTCCCATTTTATAGATAAGGAAATTGAGACACAGATAAGTGACATTAAAGGTAGAGTGGAAAGAGCGCATGTCTTCGTATCAGAAAACAGGAGGAAAATGAACTCACCTTCCCGAGTCTCAGTTTCTTCATCTGTGAGAAGAGAATGAGAGCCAGGGTAGCCTGGTGGATACAGGAATGTCTTGGAAGTTAAGGTGACCTTAGTTTAAGCCCTACTTCTTACACATACAGGCTATTGTCATAGGATCATATGTTTAGACCTGGGAGAGAACTCACCAGTCATCTAGTCTACTAATGCCATCATATTACAGATGAGATGACTGAGGCTTCTAGAGGTTTAGTGACTTACTCAGGGTCCACACAGGTAGGAAATTATGGAAAGGAAATTCCAACCTAGCTCCTCTGAATCCAAATTCATTACTCTTTCCAAAACTAGCCCTTGGTGTGATGTCTCTATGGAGCCTCTTGGTGCTCCAGACTACTCTCTGTCTACTAGGTGTAAAGCCAATGGTCAATTTTTTATTGGTAGAAAAAGTTTTCTCATTGGAGGACTCCTGACACTAGTCAAATCACATCAGGGCCAAAGAAGGCTAGAGAGTCAGCAATGGAGAAAATAAAAGGAGGGAGACAGAGACAGAGAGAAAGACAGAGACAGAGAGAGACAGAGACAGAGACAAAGACAGAGACAGACAGACAGACAGACAGAGACAGAGAGACAGACAGAGAGACAAAGGAGAGACATACTTGCCCAGGGTCACACATAACTGTCTGAGGCCACATTTGAACTCAGGTTTCCTGACTCCAGGCCCAGCACTCTATTCTCTAAGCCACGTAGCATAGTAAATGTCCAAAGTTGTTTTAATCAATGATTTGGATAAAGGCAAAGATGGCTTGCAAATATATGCACAGGTGACACAAAGCTGGAAGAGATAGCTAATGCACCAGATGACACAGCTGGGATTCAGAAAGGTCTTGATAGGTAAGAACAATGGGCTGAATTAAATAGGACAGAATTCAAAGTATGTGAATATAAATTATTTCTATAGATATCCAATATAGATAAATATAAAGTCTTAAACTTAGTTTAAAAAATCAACCTCACAAGTCAAAGGCATGGCCAACAGATTGTCTGAAAAAGAACCGGGTTAATGTGAGTGGTGGGAAATGGAAGCCAAAAAAGAATAGTAAGAGCCCCTCTATGTTCTGTCCTCTTCAGTTCACATCTGCACTATTTTGTTTAATTCTTGGAGTCATAGTTGAGGAAAGTCATCAGTAAATGAAGGAGTGTCCAGAGGAGGAAAACCAGAATGGTGAAGGGTTTTGAGTCCATGCCATTTGAAAGAATTTTTTAAACTCTGGGAGCATGCCCCCATGGGTGAGGGCTGGTGGTGGGTGTTGAAGCAATGGCTGAAATTACTGGGTATTTTCTAGAACAACTCCAACTTAAATACTTCCACTTTTCCCCCAATGAAAACAGAATTCAAATCAAATCAAATCAAAAGTGAAACTAACATGGAGAATTTGCTGTGACAATGAATTATTTATTCGTGATAGTTATTTAATATGGTATGCTCAACTGTGGTCAAATTTGAGTAAGAGCAGGTTGAATCTCAATGCTGTCATGATCTGCCACCATCACAATGAGTTGGTGTAGGTTCATGACTCGAATGAATTGGTTTTTTTCTACTTGTTGCCATATTTGAACATGAAATGTATATAATCTTTTTTTTTGCCTTTTTTTTTTTGGTGAGGCAACTGGGGTGAAGTGACTTGCCCAGGGTCACACAGCTAGTTAAGTGTCATGTGTCTGAGGCTAGATTTGAAATCAGATCCCCCTGACTCCAAGGCTGGAGCTCTAACCACTGCGCCACCTAACTGCCCCTGCATATATCTCTATACCAAAGTTAAATAATATTTGTGTTGAAGTTAAAAATATTATAGTATCCATTATATTTCTTACTGTCATGCACTTTGCAAATGCAAAATTATTAGCTAGCTTCCTCAAAAGCTATAATTTATTTAAATTTTGTTTCAGTTAACAAGCATTTATAATTTTTGCTCTCACCTCCCTCATTCACTGGAAAAAAAGGAAAAGAAAATTCTTGTAAGAAATAAGCATAGCCAAGCAAAATATATCCTTATGTGTCTCATTCTGCATATTCAGCCCATCACCTCTCTTTCAAGAGGTGGCTAGAACGCTTCATCACCAGTCCTTTTGGAATCATGGCTGGTCCCTGTACTAATAAGAGTTCTTAAGTCTTTCAAAACTGTCCTTTTCTTTTTTTTTAATATTGTTGCTATAGTATAAATTGTTCTCCTGTGTCTGCTCACTTCACCCTGCATCAGCTCATAATAGTCTTATTCAGGTTTCTTTGAAACAGTTCCTTTTATCAATTATTATGACACAATACTTATACTATAATTTGTTCAGCCTTCTTGCAATTGATAGGCACCCCTCTTAAGTTTCTAGTTATTTGACATGACAAAAAAGAGCTGCTATATATATATTTTTGTATATATGGATCCTTTCATTAATATGTTTGGAGGTGTAGGCCTAGGATTAATATTTCTGGGACAAAGGGAATTCACAACTTAGTGACTTTGGGAGTATAGTTCCAAGTTAAATATGGAAGTTTTTAAAAATTAAAAAAAATCTTTAGAGCTGTTGTAGAGAGTGGTCTTAAATGTCTAATTTAATTGTCTTAAACTTTTTATTTTCTCTAATTATTTAACATGAAATAATGCCCCTGCTTCTTGGATAAAAACCTAACTGGTTTGAAGAGGGAATTCAGCAAAGCTACTTAAACTAGTATAAGCCAAGACAATAGAGGTTAGTTTGAGTAGTGCAAATACAGAAACATGAAGAAAGAAGCTCAAATTTAGCAAATACATTTCATTGTATTTATCATTGGGATTCACAGATGTTGTTGTCAGTGGAAAGTAAAGACCACTGTGTTTGCTTTGTATGATGAAAAAGCATGAAACCCAAGAGGCCAAAATGATATTTTCAAAGTGTATGCAAAGACTACATTGTCAAGACAAGAGAATTTTTCTGGAGAAAATTAGATGCTTTTAAGAAGCAAAGACAAACTTTAAAAAAAGCTGTCTGTGACATCAAAAGGACTGTTAGCATTGTAGTACATTGTTTATAGAGCACTAAAAGCAAAAAGCTTCCTTTGATAGAAATATTGCTGGTATTGACATGGTCCAAACGATGCCTGATGAATCATGTGCAAAGCAGCTTTGAATGATTCTGCTTTGTAGACAACAGGATGGGAAGGAGAACTGACCAGATATCTGAAGACATTTATGATCAACTAATTAATAACTTAAATTTTTTCTATTTTGCATTGGAAGAGGATTAAGTAACAGATGTAGTTAAAAATATTCACTTGATTACACATGTATAATATTCTGATCAGACTGATGTTGAGGGAAGATTTGTTACTTTGCCTGTGGGAGAATTACATTGGCTACTGCACAGAGGGATCTTCACTAATATCAAACAAAATTCAGGCCTATAAACACTAGTTTAAAATGTGGCAGTTTGTGCTTTGTAGATAATCAATTGAATCAAGAAGTAGGGATGATTATATACAGTTAAGTTGCTACAAGAGTAATCAACTTTATAAAAGCTAATCCATTAAAAAGAAAAATCCTTGCAAAATTATGAGATATATGAAGGCAGAGCATTGGGAATGTCTGTCTTATTGTGAAATATCCCTTTTTTTTCAAGTCAAAGTATTTTGAAGGGTGCTTTAGCTAAAAGAAGAAATTGACATTTTTCTTGTTGATAGGAATAAAAGAAGCAAATTCATTTCTGAGTGAAAATTTCCCCCTGAGGCATGCTTTGGTAGATTTATGAAAAACTCTGTATGCTAAATAAATCAATGCACTGTCCTCAAATTCATACTCTGATCCAGAAAGAGAAAGCAACTATATTTGTAACAAAGTTAGAACTACAGATAATAAATTTACAAAAAAAATTAAATATATTTCTCAATTTAAAAAATGAAATTGAAGAAAGCAAAGACTGGTCACGAAGTCTTGTGACTAATTTAGAAAATAAATTTTCATCTTATTTTAAAAACTTCAATATTTCTAACTATTAATGAAAAAGGAGGCTAGCTGCCATGGACAAATATGCTTCACTTGGTCTTATTCCAGCTAAGCAAAAAAATCGTTTATAGACTTGTCTTGAGACGGCACATTGAAATAAGCATTTAATTCAGAAAATATTAGTATTTTGATTATGGGTTAATGAAGAGGTCTCTGGTTTAAGAAACAGAGATATATGCATATTTTCTACTGTTTCTACATCTTCTAGAGTGTAATATCTAATATTTGAGTGAAATGGGGTTTTCATCTGTAGCTCTTCTAAGCAAAAATATGTATCTTGGTTACTAATAAAATTGATGACAACACATTCTGAGAAACTTTGAGCTAAACAAACAAACAAACAAACAAAACAGTGTACCCACTACAGGAATATTATTCTTATTGTTATCACTTAAAATTATAAATACTAAATTTTTGAAGAATTACAACAAATACTTATTTGTGTATGTTTCAAATTTGTTTTTTGTTATGAACATTTTAGTAAGTTCTTAAATTTATTTGGATAAAATGTGAGCCAAGAAAATTATCTGAATAGATTATTTTATGAAGAATGTAGGGGGAAAGCACATTTTTTTTGGTAAAAAGTGTGGTTTCACTACAGAAAGTTTAAAAACCACTTACATACAAGGATCATTTGAAGGAAATGAAGATATTTAGCCTGAAGAAGATAATTTTCAGGGACATCATAGCCATTTTCAAGTATCTAAAGGGCTATGATATTAGGGAGGGACTAGATTTGTATTGTTTGGCTCTAGGGAGCAAAACTAGTAGCTATGGGTGGGAGCTGCAGAAAGACTAATTTAGGCTTGAAATCAAGAAAATGTTCTTAATAAGCAGAGTTGTCTCAAAAGGGATAAGGCTAGCTTGAAATGTGGTGGGTTTCTCCTTTGGAGGTCATCTGAAAGAGAATGGATAAACTTGTCAGGCATGGGTTGGATTAGCTGGCTACTGAGATACCTTCTAACTCTAGAATTCTATGGTTCTGTACGTTGGGAATTGAAACCATATCTTTTCTGGCTTTCCATTAAATAAAGAGAAACAGTTTTAAGTCCAACCTGCAAAATGAGAAGATTGGACTAAGTGACCTCTGAAGTATCTTTTGGCTCTAAAATTCTAGGATCTTATAATCTTAGGTTGTAGAAGATTAAATTACTTGTCTTGCTTTATTATCTAGGTGGCCCCTGGAGACAAAAAGATATTCCTTTTCCTTAGTTCAAATCCAGCCTCAGACACTTACTAGCTGTGTGCCCCTGGGCAAGTCATTCACCCTGTTTGCCTGAGGTTCCTCATCTGTAAAATGAGGTGAAGGAAATGGCAAACCCCTCCAGCATCTTTGCCAAGAAAACCCCAAATGGGGTCACAAAGAGTCGGACACTACTGAAAAATAACTAAACAACCACCACCACCACCAATTAAAATGTTGAATACCTTTAATTATTTTCATGAAACTGGTCAAACCTAATGACAATGGACTTCAAGAAAGACATGAAGCAGAGCTGGGCTTGGGAAGGTTTCCCAGATTACTCTGTTGTGCTGGAATTTGGTGGCATTTGAATATTCCTTGAAATATGTAGAACAACAATTATGGTGAGCGCTCTAATTGCAATAAAATGAAACCCTGGCTCTGTACACATTTTGTACTGAGCATGTGCTGTTGCCTTTGTCTGTCTGGTGGAAACCAAAGCATGAATGAGTTGAGATCTTTACATTCTTTGTTTTTCTATCCTTAGTCTATAGCACAGAACCTGGCACATAGTAGGTGCTGGTTGATCGGTTGATTAATAAATCCATAAAGTCAAATGTGAATATGTAAAGATCTAGATTTACTTAAAAACTGCATGCTGTACTGAGAATTCCATGGGGGTATCATTGAACTGGTATCATAATTTCTCTTCCTCTTTAAAACACCCTATCCATCCCAAGACAGAACAAAGCCAACCAACTTGTAGTAGTGCAACATAAATTAATCTGTAAAATAGATGAGTACCTGAAATTATATGAAAATCAAATTTATGTTCATCCAATCACATTTTAAATGCACTGGGGGGTGGGGAGGATATAACTTAAAATAATTCCTGGGATGAATACTCTTGTAAAGTAAGGAGACCATTTGCAAAGCAAATATTCATCACCTCAATTCTCTTTTTAAGTGTAGTGTGGTACAGTAAAAAGAGCACTGACTCTAAAGTCAGAGCGCCTAGGTTTAAATTTCACCTTTGATACTACTCATGTGACCTTGTGCAAATCACTTAATTTCTCTGGGCTGTGTTGTATAATGAAGGGGTTAGATTTGAATGGTCTCTGAGGTCCCTTCCTGCTCTGCATGATCCAATGAAATCTAGATTTTTAATATATAATATTAAAACCAATTCCTGATTGTACATTAAAGCATCCCTGGAGATTTCATCCTAAAATACTTGCAATAAGATGAAACCTTAGGGAACTATGCATGTGTTTGTTCTATATGTGGTTGCCTTTATCAGTTTGGCAGGAACCACTGAATAAACAAGTTTTCTTTGTTTTTTTGTTTGTTTTTTAGGCTAGGCAATGGGGTTAAGTGACTTGCCCCGGGTCATACAGCTAGTAAGTGTTATGTGTCTGAGACCGGATTTGAACTCAGGTCCTCCTGAATCCGGGGCCGGTGCTCTATCACTGCGCCACCTAGCTGCCCCAAGACAGGCTTCTTTTCAGCAAGAGCAGAAATGTATTCTCTGGAGCTCTTCATTCTCCTCCCTTTCCCACTCCCCAGTTGATGGAGGACAGAATCCTTCAGATGTAGGCTGCAGTTGTTGTTACCTGTGGTGTGGGGATGAACTAGACTTCTCTGAAGGCTCTCTACTGGACTCTGCTTCTTATCGAGTATTGGGAAGTAGTGGGAGGGGCCCACTGGGGGAATAAAAAGGGGACCCTCCCTCTATGGGAAGTCTTCTCTCTGATCTCGGGGTTGGAAAATTGGCTGTAAAGTGAATTCCAGGCTTCCACAAGGGCCCAACCAAAACCAGTTCGATGTGTACTGTTGTGTCAGCACATGAAAACCTCCCATGACAGTTGTAGTCTTCATTTCTCTCTATAAACAGTTTATTCCCAGTACGTAGGTTACTCATTGTGGGATTAGGCATAGGAGATCACGACTGCTATAGCAAGACTGAGGCATCATTTACCCAACAGGAACATCACAAGACTTTTGTTCCTTCCATTAATACAAATCTAGGTGCCTTCTTCCTACACACAGATATCCCATCAGGGAGACTCAGATGCATTTAATAATGTCCTTATTATCAAGAGTAAACAAAACCATACACATATGCACAGGTCAAAGAGCAAGTTATAAAACCTCAGAGAGCACCTTTAGAACTTCCTCTGGTCTTATCTGGATTTGTTTCATTCTGACAGAGTTGAAAGAACACTGACTGTGGAGTCAGAGGAGCTGGGTTCAAATCCTGCCCCTGACCTTCACCTGTGTGACCTTGGGCAAGTCATTTTACCTGAGTTTCAGCTTCCTCATCATTAAAAGATGAGAAAAGTACTAGAGATTTTTTCCAGCTCTAGGTCTAGGATTCTATATCTAACCACTTGTCCATAAGAGGAAGAACCCAGAAAAATTATAGAACACTTCTGGTGATTTTGGGGACGGCAAGGTGGGAAAGTTTCAGGTTACGATTCTCTTTCTTTGGAAGATGTTCATCATAAGTCAGAAGAGAATTAGTAAATTGCAGCCAGCCAAATTAGTGGTCTCATGTTACATTAAAAATATATTTTGTGTCTTTTGTCTTTATATTACAATCATTTTTGCAAAAAAATAACAAATAAAACTTACCCCCACCCTTGCAATTCCTTCCAGATTGACCCCTCCCTTAATGTTAAATTCAAGTTACCATCTTGCTGAAATTCACAGGTCCAAAAAGCAGATCTGTAATAAATATGTCAGTATCCAAAGCACATTTATAACAACATTACAGATTGGTATTAGAAATGGACTATTCCATACTTTTTATAAATTAGACCATCCTCTTTCATGGGAGGGATCACAGGAAGATTTTCCACTGCCTACTGTATCAATCAACTATTGCTCCTACTTCTAGCTCTTCCTCTCCACCTACTACTCCTACTTCTGTCCTCAGCATGCATATTTTAATTCTCATAATTAGATAATATGAATTTGTAATAACACCATGCCCTGGTGATTTTACCTTATTGCCTGTGGCAGTGTCCACCAGAAATCCCAGGACCTTAAGGATAATGCTGCTCAGACAAACATCACTCTGGCTGATGTGTGTCATCAGAGTTACACTAGGTGGCTCATCATTGTGGTTTTCATGTTGTTTAATTGGAGAATCAGGACTTTGGAGAGACTCCTGAGTGGACTGGATGGGAGACTTGTCATTTGGCTGCATTTCCTTGAGATTGCCCCCATCTTCCTCTTCCTCTTCATCCTCTATACGTGACTGAAGTATATGAATCACATATTCCAAAAGTAGCAAATTAAATAGATGCCAGGAGCCTAGTTTTAAATAACCAACAAAACAAAACAAAACCAGAAAGCCAGATCTGTAAAGTCAACATACCAACTTTTTAAAGGTTTTGGCAGGCCTTGCTCACTTAATCTACATTGTACATTTGACCTGCAATTTTCACTGACTGCATGCAGAGTGGGACCTTTGACACCCACCTCAGGTACGATCTAGCCCTTAAACAGAAAGTGACATTGAGTGACATATAAGGTATACAAAATTTGCAAAAGGGCACAAAACAATTCTACTTATCTAATCCAAGAGAAGAAACAACATTTATCAAAACACAAACACTTCCCTCCCTCCCCATTTCCTTCTCCCCCGTCTTTAAGGAGAGAAGAATCAACTTTAGGGATAATGAGTACCAGCTCCTCAAATCAGAGGAAGGCCTGTTCTTTGAGGTCTATCTGGCAGCTGAACAGAGATATAGGAATAGAATGTGGGGAGGGGTGGGGAGAGGACCACAGAAGGAATATTGTTGCCATTTTATGATGCATCAGATGCAGCCGCCTCTCAAATCCTTCACTGGTTGTGCTGTTGCATATCCTTATGTGTTAAGTGGGCAAGGGAAAAGAGTCTGAAGCACATGACAAAATGAGATTTATCTTATGCCAGAATTTTAAAGTTATAAATAGGGAGAGTTGAGGAGGACGCGTGAAAAAAGCATGCACAATAGAGCTGAAAAACACTGGATTTGTGAGAAGGTAGGACAGAAAATGACCAGGACTTCACTAGGAAATGTCTAGCTTTTTGTAAATTCTCAGTGGACCCAAAGTTACAGGTATTCAATGGCTGATACAGAGGGCTGCCTAGGGCAGGCTAGGGTGATCACAGCATCTTTGGGCCAATGTTTACCGGCCTATTCAATTTGATGGATTAACTACTGTTTTTATTGACTTAGTATGGCATAGAGTGAGTCAATCCAAAGCCAAGAAGACATGGGTTCAAATCCCTCCTCTGGCACATTATTGCCTATGTGGCTGTGGGTAGGTCATTTCACCTTTCAGTGTTCTGGGCAACTCTCTAAAACCATAAGTTGCAAGGTGGTGTCAAACCGCATTGGTAGAAGAGATTTAGTCACCCAATAGTTCCTGATACCAATGAAATTACACATCTGGTCCCTATCCCCACACATATATGTGATGGGGGAATCTCTGATCAATTTGATGTGCCCTTCAATGTACTTGAGAAGATTACAGCATGTTGGGGTAAGGGAAGAAAAGAAAATAAATGGTTTTTAAGTTTAAAAAAATTTTATAAAAGGTTACAGGATATGGACTTTTGTCAGAAGGGTGTCCAAGGGTGAGAAAACTATGAAGAGGGTGATAGGCTTAAGAAGGAGAATGGAGCCATTTCTCTTTACTCATATAGCCCTCTAATTGGTGAGGTTCCTCTAACAAGAGCAGAACTTCTCATTTGCCAATCATGTTAAGGCAGCCTCAATCACTGGAGACGAATCAGGAGTTCCCTGTGCTCTCTCAGCATGACCTCAACAATGGGCTTTAGCAGGGACCATGATTGGGAGATTCATTAAGCTCCATATGGATTCTCCTGATCAATCTCTAATTCATGAATATGTCCTGAGGGGAGAGTAGTCTGGTTAAAGAAAAACAGGCATGGGCTCTTTATTCTAGACTTGGACTGAAATACTGTTGTAACACTGTAGGGCAAATTTATGAATGTAGATAGGCTAATCATCTTGGACGCGATCCAAAGAAGCTGAATTACTGAAGTAAGCAAAGTAATTCATTTTAATCTATGTAGTGATTCCTCAGCACAGACTCTGAGAACAGCATCCAAGTGAAACTCCAGTGTATTTGTGAGACTGATCTAAATTAGAAAATTAGGGAAGGACAACATTAGAAGGGACCGCCGAGGACATCTAATCCAACATCCTCATTTTACAAGTAAGGAAAATAAAGCTAGAAAAGTTCATAGATTTAGAGATATTAGGGGACCATAGCATCAAGCTTAATCCCTTTGTTTTATACATGACAATACTGAGGCTAGAGTTTTGCCTAGGTCACAAAGCTGGTAAGTGCATCAGATGGGATTTTAACCTAGGTCTTCTTGACTCCGAATCCTACATTCTACCTACTATCTACTAGATTCTATCTCCTTTATAATGCCTAAGGTTAAGTGACTTTGTCAAGGTCACACTGTTAGGTGAAGAGCAGGTATTCAAACTTTGGTCCTTACTCTAAAACTGGGGCTTTTTCTACTGAAGCCAATATTATTTCTATGGACCAAAGAACTGAACATCTAACCTTGTCCCTTTCCATGATGCTCCCTAGGGCATGCCATATTGCAATATGACTTCTTTATCAGTTGTTCAGACTGAAATTCTCATTGGGATGTCCCAAGAACCGCCATCCCTCCTTTCTTGATAGTTACCTTGGCTCTGCCTGTATCAAAATGCAAAGCCACCTGCAATTCAGGAGTAGCTAACACTCAGTGACTTGGGGGCCCAGGAAGGTGCCTTACCAAAACTGTCTGCTTGCCAGAGGGTCATGGCCTTGCTCACGGCAGTCAGGAGGAAGTTCCATCTCAGCTGGAAGCTAGCAGCCAGTCTGATAAACTCTTCTTTGCTCCTGCTTGGCTAGTACATTTTAGGAATGTATAACAAAGGATGTCCCGATTTAGGAAAAATCAAATAGAGAAATATGGCTCATACAATGATTTTACAAGTACACGTTTCCTGCAACAGCCATTTTTAAAGGTACAAATGAGAAACGTAGGAGGAATTCACAAATTTTGCTTTAGTTGGAGGCTTTAACAAATGCACACTGGGCCTGATTCTAGCTTTTGGCTACATCCCCTGTGGAGCTGATCCTTGGTGCAGTGTTCTTTGAAGTTGAGAAAGAAGGAGAGGGAGATCAGAAATTGGTCTATTTTTTTCATACATACCATTTTTAAAAAGAGGTCACTTACGAAATATGACAGAGTAATACTGCAGGGGGAGCACCTCTAAAATCTACTTGGAGAGCAATTGAAAAGTTCTGATAAGCTATTTATACCCCTAATGACATGTGCTTTGATTGCCTTATCAGAGAAAAGCAGATCAGTTGTGGTGCTAAGTTTGATTATGAGGAAAAGCTCTGATTTGAATAACAATGAATCCAGTGCTAGACGGTTGTGCATCCAATAGCAATGAAAGCATAATTGTATTTAATTCAGGGAATATTCATAATCAGCTGTAGTGTGTGTTAAGAATCACAGAGTTAGAAGGTGTCTTAAGAGGTCATCTACACAGCTTCCTGCTGTGAGCTAAGCATAGGCTATCTTCACTGCATTAAAGCTGCAGTTCTCAAAATGTTGTCTGTGGACACTTAAGGTTCCCAAAGCCCTTTCTGGGAGTTCACAAATTCAGAACTATATTCATAATAATTCTTTCTTATATAATACTTTACTCTTCCCCAATTATGTGTTAAAAAAATTTTTTTCTTAACATTTTTAAAAAAGTTTTGAGTTCCAAATTCTATCCCTACCTCTTTCCCTCTTCTCCCCATCCCCAATATGGTAAGCAGTCCAATATAGTTTATACATATTCATAATAATTCTACGCTGTTATTTGCCTATTTAAATCACCTTCTCTTTTCCAATGATATATCTATGTGAGGCTGGATTTTCTTTGTATACTTCAACCTGAATAATGTCACAACAGACCAAATGCAAAAGCAGATATGAGAATCCAGCTGTCTCCAATTAAGTTAAGACTTTAATGAGATTTGCAAAAATATGTAAAATAACACCACTCACTATTTTTGTTTGTTTTTGACATTTTAAAAATGTTAACAAGTAATGAGTTAATTGTTATTTTTAAATGAATGAAAAACATTTAAAATTTATTAGTTTTAATTTCTAATATGTACAATAAATATTGAGAGATCTAATCCACATAAACAAAAGTTCTCTTGGTTTTCAATAATTTCTTAGTGTAAAAGATTCCTGAGAGGGGGGAAAGGTTGGGAAACATTCCACTAAAGGATATCATAGGTTCCTCATTCCCAAGGAATTCTAACAAAAAACTAAAGAGATTCTATTTAAATGTATAGAACAATGGATGAGATATTTTACTATTCTGAACACATTTTACATTTACTAGGAAACAATTTGGTTATGGAAAAAAAGTGTCTATTTATCTATCAATACAAAATGTACCTCATGTCAATCTCAATTATATACTTCTGAATAATGGAATTTCTTACGGTCTAAAGTATTTCCGTGAAAAGAAGATGTATTATTAGATTTGTGTTTGTGTGTTTAACTTGACCCATGGTTTCAATGTTAGGCATTCTGGTGAGGAATTCCTTTTACCAAAGTAGATCAGCACCTTCTCTGTGACTTATAGTTCCTCATCCATGATGGTAGAAGTGGCAAGATTTGGAACTGATTGGATGTATAGAATGAAGATGAGTAGGTAATCAGGAGACTAGAAAGATGGCAGTGCCATCAAGTGAAATAGGAAAGTTTGGAAGAGGAGTGAGTTTATGAGGGACGATAATGAAGTTTGGGACTGTTAAGTTTAAGTTTAAGATGTCTCTGAGACATATAGTTTGAAATGTGCAGTAGACAATTGGTGATATGAGAAGTTCAAGGGAAAGTATGGAGCTGAATATATAGATCAGGAAGATAGATGTATAGAGATAAGAACTAAACCCATTGTGGATGATGAGGTTTTTTAAAAGAGAATAGAGAAAGAAAAGATAATAGAGCCCAAGACAGAGGCTTGGGGAATGACCAAAGTGAGGGATTGTGATATTGATGATTAGCCAGCAAAGGAGACTGAGGAAGAGCAGTTAGACAGGTAGGAGGTGAACCAGGAGAGAGTAGAGTCTTGAAAACCAAAAGAGAAGAGAAAGTCTCCAGGAGAAGAAAGTAATCAACAATGTCAAACTCATTCGTGTGATTAAGAAGGATTAGGACTGAGAGAAGACCATCATATTTGGCAATTAAGACATCATTGGTAACTTTGGGGAGAGCAATTTCAGTTAAGTGATAAGGCCAGAATGCAAAGGGTTGAAGAGAAAGGGGAGAAAATGTGGGGTCCAATGAATATAATAAACTCTTTTCAAAGAGTATGGCTGAGAAAGGGAGGAGAAATACAGTATAATAGCTTGAGGATAAGATAGGGCCTAGTGAAAAAAAATTATTAAAATGAGGGAGACTTGGGCATGTTTGAAGGGCAGTAGGAAAGGAACTTATTGGTAAGGAGAGGTTGAAAATTCAAGAGAGAGATGGGCAATGCTTGAGGATGAGGATGGGAGGTCATTGGATCTTGTGTGTGTGTGTGTATATATATATATATATATATATATAGAAGGGTTGGCCTTGACAAGAAGGGTCATCTTTTGTCAGAGACACTTAAGGAAAGGAGAAAGTGAGAGATGATGTCAAGGGTTTTTAAGATGAAAAGAATGGGAGAAAAGGGTGATCATTTTCTATATTATCAATGTTCTCAGTAAAGCAAGAGGCAAGGTCCTCAACAGAGAGAAAAAAGGTGAAAGGTGGATGGATTAGGATGCTTGAGGGAAGAGAATGTTTAAAATAGCTTCTGTGGAGAGTGAGATAGAGGATTAATTAGGGAGGAACAAAACAACTACCCAGATCCAGTGAGGGCACAATTGAAGTTGGATAACATCAATTTGTAATGCACTTAGCTAGCCTGGTGGTAAGACTTCCTCCAGATGCATTTAGCAGCTTTTGAAAAGAGCCAGATGCTAGAAGTAATCCAGTGTTATGGTTTAGCAAGAGAAGACCAGAGACAGGGGGAATGAAAGACAGCATTTAGTTGAAATAGCTAACTACCAGGTGAAGGTTGGAAAGAGAGGAAAGTGCTAAGGTAATAATCTCAAAGTATTTAGGGGTGATGGGAATGGAGATCTTGATAAGAGTAAAGAATAAGTATAGAAGAGACGAACATAGGGAGAGGCTATGGTCAGAGAGGGGGAGGTTAAGGTTTCCAGTTAGGGAAGTGGAATATTTGTGGGTAATGACAAGACCTGGTATGTGACCATCCCTAGATGTGGCTTAGGTGGAGTGAAGAAGTAGATCATGTGAACTAAGAAGGTTGAGGAAATGGGAAATGAGGAGCAATAGGAGTTTAAGGGCGTATCTACGTAGATATCAAAGTCCCCTAGCATAAGGGTAGGAATTGATCAGTGAGGTGCTGAGTTCCTTGAGAAAGAAGGCAGAATGACCTGGTTAGTGGTCAATATTCCACAGCTACTAAAATTTGGATTGGGTTAAAAATGTGATTAAATGGACTTCAAAGGAGGAAAGTTTATTGGGTAACAGCTGGAAGTGACAATGTAGAGCCAGGACCATTACAATTTTCTTCTCTAGGACCAATTTTGGGATAGAGGGAGAGGTAAAAGAAGATACACCTAGTGCTAGAGTTGAAAGCCCTGGAGGCAATGTCATCAGAAGGAAGCCAGGTCTTCATGAAGGCTAAAAGCTGGAAGGAAAGTGAAAGAAAGAGGTCCAAGATGACAGGGAGTTTGCTGTGGAATGGGAAGTCTGGAGTGTGTAGTGAGAGAGTGAACAGTCTGTTAGCAAGCATTTATTACTATGTGCCAAGTACTCAGGGGATGTAAAGAAAAGCAAAAATTAGGTCTGCCCTCAAAGAGCTCACATTCTAATGAGGGAGAAAACTTGCACATAACCATGCACATATAAAATCTATACAGCACAAATGGAAGGTAATCAAGATGGAAATGGGTGGGCTAGGGTTGAGGGGGATTCATTTTTATTGTTCCATAAGAATGCTTTGGCCAAATTTTGCATATTGAATCAGTACCCCAAACAAGTGAGTATTAAAATGTAGTGAATAATAATAATAATTGTTGTGAGTTGTTATTCAGTCATTTTTCAGTTGTGTCTTTTGGATCTCAGCATCTCAAACTCAGTAAAACTGAATATCATCTTTCACCTCAACATGCCTTCCCCTCAACTCTACTATTTCTAATTAGGAGGCCTTCAGTTTCCTAGTAACCAAGGTCTGAAATCTCAGTCAGTCAATGTTGACTCTTCCTACTTCCTTACCTTCCATATTCAATTAACTGCCAAGTTCTGTTGATTCTGCCCCCTCAAAATGTCTGTTCCTTCTTCATTTGTTCCTTCCTTGGGATTCCTGCCACCACCAACCTGTTTCATACTCTCTTCACCTCTCTCTTAGACAATAGCCTCATAACATCCTGTCTGCAGTCTCTACTGACTACAATCTATCTTTCACACTGATGCCAAAATAATCTTTCTAGGCACTATTATCTTGCTGTAAACCTTCAGTGGCTCCCATGCACAATGAAAAAAAAGTCAGATTTCTTAAACCTGGCATTTAAAAGCCTTCACAAACTATAGTTGACCTTTAACCACTTTATGTGCACTCCTCTTTATATGCTCAGTGCTTGAGCTAGACTAAACTGTTTCCTGATCTTCCATTTCTCCTGCCTCTATACTTCTCTGGACACATTCTTACTGCCATGGCTGGATACTTCCTCCTACCTCACTCCCCCAATTCTGTCTATTGAGAGCCTTCTCACCTGTGCTCAGATGTCCCCTCTTCCATGAATCTTTCTCTGACGTCTTAGCTAAAACAGATCAGCTATTCCTTTAATTACTTGTGTTCTATTTAGCTTCTTCCATCTCCTTAATCATTCTATAACTTGTATGACAATTGTTTATTCCTTCACACTTCTCTACTGAATATTACAATAGAGATAATGAAACAGAACATTCTAGACTCTGCAAAGGCAGGAGTGGGAATGTAATGAATAGAGGAAGGCAATCAGGATGGTGGAAGGCCTTGAGCCCATATCCTATGAAAATTGGTTAAAGGAACTAGAAATGTCTAGCCTGGAAAAGAGAAGACTCAAGGGGGCCACGATACCTATATTTAAGTAAATGTGTGGTCATGTGGAATAGAGATTAGACTGGTATTGTTTGTCAGAACCAGAAAAAATGAGTAGAAGTTGCAAATAAGCAAATTTAGGTTTGATATCAAAAGAAACTTCTTAATAGTCAGAACTGATCAAAAGTGGAAGATAGTGCCTGGAAAGCTGGTGTGTTCCACATCGTTGCAGATCTTCAAGCAGAAGCTGATGGTTACTCATCAAGTAGGTTATGGTGGGGATTCCTTTTTTGGGTATAGTTTGCACTAGAGAGCTGGTTCAGGTAGCTTTCAACTCTCAAATACTGTAATCTATAACCAATCTAGCTAAGAAGAGAGAGGTTAATCACCAGTAGACTGGTCATGTAGTGATGAATTTTTTGGCCATGGCGACACCAGAGGCAAAGAAAAATGACAGAATTATCTCAGTCCTATGTGGAAGAGCAACAGAAAAAGGGGGCAAAGGTTGCCAAGGATCATGTCATTTTTAAATGGTTTATGAATTATAACAGCTGTTGGTGCTGTAAATATGGGACATCTTTGTATAATGATGAATGAGTGGACATACTACTGGAGAAACTGAATCATATCAATTTTCAAATTCTTCCTTCTATACCTTCCCCCCCTTCTCTCTCTTTCTCTCTCTCTCTCTCTTTCTCTCTCTCCTCTCTCTCTCTCTCTCTCTCTCTCTCTCTCTCTCTCTCTCTCTCTCTCTCTCTCTCCTCTCTCTCTTTCTCTCTCTCTCTCTCTTTCTCTCTCTCTCTCTCTCTCTCTCTCTCTCTCTCTCTCTCTCTCTCTCTCTCTCTCTCTCTCTCTCTCTCTTCACCTTTCTTCTGAATTTCTCTATCTTACCTGGGCCAATCACATATCTAATCACACTACTCATAGGCATGGGAGCTTTGACTTTATTTTCTACTGGGGCTGGTTCATCCCTCCTTAGGAAGCATGATGGCCTCCTACTCCTGGGAACTTGATATATTGGTGTTGGACTTCAGTGTGGATATCCAATCAGCTTAGTTCACTACAGCCCAGAAATCCAGAGTTTGTGATTAATCAAAATCAGCCTCACCAGTACCAGGGATTACAGGCCTTTACCTAGCAGGTGCCTTTTTTGATGTAAATGAGTCCAGAAGACCAAAGGAATGTTTAGCTAAATGGAAGGATGGCTCACAAGATTTCCTTGAAGAGGCAAATAGTTTTATTAGTCCAAAGTCAAGAGGAAACAAAATTTCATGGAACTTAATGTAGAGGTGGACACAGGTGAGGGTGGTGAAAAATGTTAGAAAATATAGTTCAGGAGTAAAGAACACGATATTACTGTGCTATAAATAAAGACAAATATAAAAAATTCAGAGAAGTTTGAAAAGATTTATATGAACTAATGGAGTAAGTAGAACCAGGTTAAAAAAAAACCCAACATGTAAAGACAGTAGTACTTTTTATTAATGTGACCAATGGGAATTTTAGAGGACTGGTGGTTAAGTATACCACTTTTCCTTGGGCAAAGAAGTGATGCAGAATGAGGCATACATTGTCAGACATGGACAATGTATTCATTTGTTTTGTTTAAATGTACTTATATTTTACCAGTGAGGGTTGGGGAGTAGTCACGGGGAAGTGACAAAAATAAAAATAATTTATATTTTTAAAATTATGAGCAATATTTTCTCTTAAGTCTCTGATAAGCAGAAGGAAGAAAAACAAATTTAAAGAAAGCTTGGTGAATGGCCTAATAAGCAAAGTCATCCTGATAATACTGAAGGATGAAACTGGAAGAACAACAAACAGACAAAATATGGAAAAGAGCTACCAAATTATTTTCACTATTGAGGATAGTGGAGCCAACACATTTGGGCTTTTAACATCACAATTCTAGATATATTCATAGAAAAAAATGGAAATGACATTGAATAAAACAAATTAAGGAAAGCAGCTGGACTAGACACAGATATCAAGGAGATGAAAGAAACATTGGAGAATTGGAGTAGTAATAAAATAATTCACCTTTCTATAAGCCTTTAGATGATAGGTACATGTCTTCTCCCCCAACCAAGAGTATAAACCCCTTAAAATATAAATACCCTTTATGTCCACAGTATGTAGCACAGAATTGTGATAATAATTTTTCATCATTTGCTACCTTCTAATAATTTTACTTTATATTTATTTATAATTTTTAATAAATATATTCATATTTATTTATTATATAAAACTTATTAATTATTATGCCATTCCTCCTGGAACATTTTGGCTAACTGAAACATGTTTTCTGTTTATGTTAACTTCATCTAGATAAAGCCCGTCTCATGGAATAATAATATTAAGGGAAAACTTTTTGACATTCCTCAGATAAAAAACCAAAAGGGAATTTTGAACTTCCTAAGGTGATTTAGTTAACTATTTGTGAAAAAACATTACTGGCTCTAATTCTGTAGTTATCTTTTTAGGCATGTAAATCTTTCCTCAATCAGCCATATCTATAGGTAGTTTAATCTGTAACCCGAATTAAGTTTATTCAGAGAGTCTGTTTAACTAGGTTTGTTTCCTTAAAGGATGTATGAGATTATTATTCTGTGTAACTGAGTTCAACTTCTATGGCTTAAGAGAATATACTAGATTGCTTCATGTTTAATATTATTTTTCTGTCTCTGCCATGTAATTTTGTCTATAAAAATCCTCATTTGAGTCCTAATTTTTGTTCAAGGTTATTTTTCTGTATCTTAAACCTATGCTCAAGCATAATAAAACCGAGATTTTTAATATCCCTAAATTTCTACAATGTGGTAGATTGATTTTGGCAGCAGTAACCTACCAAATGAACTCATAAAGAAGATATTTCTCTTACAACAGCATTCTAAAAAGAAAGTAAAGTCCTTGAAAGCAGAAACTGTTTTGTCATTGTCTTTGTATCTCTTTTGTCTAGCATAGGTCTGACACACAGTAGGTGTTTTTACTAAATGCTTCTTGAATTGCTTAATACAAGTTCATTGATAAAGGTGAAGATAAAGGAGTGCAAACAGGCCTTACTGAAAGACTTGCCAATAGCAACATGGCCCCATGAGCCAATTCAACCACAGCTATAATGAGATACCTCTTGAACCTTTGAAATGAAATCAGATACTCTAGTGGTATGTTTCTTTACGGAACACAAACAGCTATTCTTATCAAATACATCCCTTTCCCCTCTGTTCCTTCTTATTTCCTCTATCACCTCTCCCCCACCCAAATTCTGCATGTATATACAACATAACAGTTAATTAAATCTTTGCCTCGGTTCAGGTTTGTATTCCTTAAACGTTTCTCTTTCTATGTTCAAACAGTAGGTGTGTAGAATGACCAAATGAGTAAGGTTCAGAAGCAGATGAAAACCTGTCCCACAGTTTTTAATACAAGTCCAAGCCTTGACATGTCCCACACAAGCTCTGGGGAGCAGCCTCTCTTTCATACTATTGTGATAGAAACATTCAGTACGTAATTTGTCTACTACTGCCTACTTCTTTCCTTCAAAAAAAAGCACAGTTAGCTTTGTACCTGAAAGACAAATGCCTGGAGATTTGAAGACACACAGTTCAGGAAGACGCTGACATCTGTTGAAGTTCCCAGCAAAGAAATCAAATTGTTTAAACCTGTGAAGAAAAAGGACTTTAGGTGATTTTGAAGCTTTTTGTTTAGACATTCATATTGACTTAAAAAATAGTTCTGAGCAATCAATAGATTTAACACAAATAAATAGTCTTTAACACAAATAAAGAATCTTGGGCTGGATTTTTCACCAACAGTGCTGATGTACGTGTGAATCATAAAGCCACCTGATCAACCACTTCTGTCACTTGTGGAGTTGGAAAGAAACATTTCAAAAGAACAATTGCACCTTGTAATTAGACCGAACCTTTCTTCAAGTGAGCTCATCACACCTCACAGACGTGATCTCACCAATGGTACAGATTTCATGCAAGTTGTAGTTTATTACTGCCATTTAACTGACAGGGAAAATCAAAGCAGTTGAGAGAAGTTAAATGCTTTGCCTGGGGGCTAGAACGAGCTGGTGAAGGATCTGAAGAACAGAATCCAGGTATCTTGACATTGCAGACCTTGGATCTTTCCATTGGAGCAGACAATGCTGGAGACAAAAAGAAAAAGCCTTTTGACTTTCTGCATTTCCATACAAGACTGAGTTTGTCAGTGGCTCCAGAGCTAAGGAGGGTTGGCTTGAGGTTATGCTGAGGTTTTGTCAGTACTTACTTGGGAGGAAAACCAAAGGCTACCAAGAAATTCAATAGAATTCCCTTCTCGGAGAAGTGTGCTGTGGAATCCAGAGCAAAATGGACACTTGTCCAATGAATTACAAAAATGAGATGCAGACTACCCTTATTCCCACAATGGTAGGAAGGTGTATCCTTAATCATGGAAAAAGTCATGGAAAAATGAACCAAATTAGCTTAATCACATTTAACAGTATGATATAGTGGATAGAGTGCTTAATCTGGAAAAAAGACCTATTTTCAAGTCCAACCATAAATAATTAGTATCTGTGTGACTTTGAGCCACATAATATAACCTCTCTGAACCTCAGTTTCCTTATCTGTAAAACAAAATCTACTTTACAGGATTGTTAAAATATTGCATGTTAATTGTTTTGCAAACCTTAAAAGTGCTATATAAATAGCAACTATTATTGTTGTTATTATTATTATTATTATTATAAATTTTCTCAAGGTGCAATAATCCTGGAGATGACATTTTCTAGTAGCTGTACAGATCCCCCACCTGATATATACCTTCCGGGTGCTCTGTCAAAGTACGCTATGAATTGATGAAAGGAGATATTGGACTGAGCAGGGCTAATCACAAACACCCACAGAAACCCAGTCACCCTGTGCATAGCCACCTGCTGAATTAGTATTGACTATTTTAAATGCAATGAATTATAGAAAACACACCCAATCATTAAACATTACACCATTGTAAATATTCTTTGATGAGACTAAGAGTAACAATGCCAGACTCTGGCTCCAGGCAAGTCAGTAAACTAATCAAATCCAATTCAGGCACAGTAAAAGAAACATTTTAAAATGCTATGACCATGCAAGTAGATAAAATAAAGACTTCATTAACTTTCCTCCTCCCAACAGGACATAGTGTTTGCTTATTCATGGAACGCAAAAGATCAAAATCTTTTGATGACTGCCCATTATTTGGAAGAACAAATTTAATTTATACCACAATAGAAAGCATAGATACGTATCATATAGAACTGCACTGTAATAACAACAATAGCTAGCTTATAGTGCTTTTAAGGTTTGCAAAGTGCTTTACATATGTTACCTCAGATGATCTCCCACACAACCTGGTTGAGGTAGTTATTGTTCGGTCATTTCAGTAGAGTCCGATTCAGTGTGGCCCCATTTGAGGTTTTCTTGGCAAAGATACTGGAGTGATTTGTCATTCTACAGATAAGGAAACTGAGGCAAACAGGGTGAAATGACTTGCCCAGGGTCACACAGCTAGGAAGAATTTGAGCCTAGGCTTGAACTGAGATTTTCCCAATTCTGGGTCTAGTGCTCTATCAACTGTTCTACTTGGCCACCTAGCATTGTGGCATTGGGTCCCAGAGAACTAGCCCTGTCAAATTCTGGTAATAACACTCCACTAGCTCAGATCATCCCAGAAGTAATCTCTTCAGTCCAGAACACCATACTCAGGGTCAGAAGACCTGGGTTTGAGTCCTGGCTGTATTTCTTACTAGGTATGGGACTCTGTACAAGTCACTTACCTCTCTGAACCTCACTGCCACAAAGGCAAAAATGATGCATAAGCTATTTGCTTCACAGTGGTATTGTAAGGATCAAATGTGAAAGCACTTTATAATCATAAAATCCTATAGAAACACAAATGATGCGACAGTGATGATGGCTTTAAGAGCTGCTGCCTTAAGTTCCCACTGAGGTCCTATACTAGTGCTTTATTGTGTCTGGGAGGTGACTTATGGTTCTTAAAGGCAAAGTGAATGGAATGTAAACTCTGATAGGATCTGCCAAGCTGAAAAGGCTTTGAGTAGAAGCAAAGTGATCAGATGAGAGCCAGCCTCATTAAGTTCAAAAAACCTCATCACTGGAAGGGTTACCATTGGAAGAGGAATCTTTTTAGGTGAAGCAAATCACAAAGATCACTCTAAGGTAAAGAATGGTTGTGAATCACATTGATGGAGGAAGTGTACGCAACAACCTTGTAGTATTAAGTGGGGCAGCTAGGTGGTGGTGCTGGGCCTGGAGTCAGAAAGACTCATCTTCAAGAGTTCAAATTCAGCCTCAGATACTTACTAACTGTGTGACACAGGGTAAGTCACTTTACCCAATTTGCCTTAGTTTCTTCATCTATAAAATGAGCTGGAGAAGGAAATGGCAAACCATTCTAGTATCTTTGACACAAAAAAACCCAAATGGGGCCACAAAGAGTCAGACACAACTGAAAATGACTGAACAACAGATATTATTAAGTGAGGCTTGATGCATAATGTTTAAAAGCTGTATCGACTATCATTTTAAAAATAACTTTGAAAAAAACTATACTTGCCAAAAATGTCAAAAGTTTACTAGGATTTTTAGTCTGGCATTTAAAACACATTGCTATTCTATTCCCACAAGTCAGAACCAGATGCTTAAAAAAAAATTTTCTATAGACTTTAAAAACTATTCAATTGGCTAGGATACAACAATTAGCTTTATATAGAAATGAATATAATCCTTCCCACTGGGAAGGATAGCATAAAATGAACCTTAAGAGAAAGACAGCCCAAATAGGTGATAAACACATCAATAAAGAAGAGAGTTATAGAGAGAAAAATTACATTTCAGCTCCATGTTGCTTTCCAGTTCATCTGTACTTCTAAAATGTTTCTGCAAAGGTTTCCTAGGAATATCCAAAGCTCCTTGGTTGACAATAGCATGCAAGTCTGATTTTAAAATGTTGACTCTCCTGTTGTTATTTAATACCATTCTCATTGTCTAAAGATAATGAGATTGAAGAGTTAAAGCTTTAATTTTACTCTTTCTACTCCTCTGACCAAAATCACCAATTTTATTGTAAGAGTAAGTAGAAATTAGGTTTAGGTATTAACCATTAAGTTAAAAACCTCACTGATCATCTGGATGTTAAAACTGTGTGCAATATTTAAATTTTTCCTTGAAGTTACACAATTAAATGTTTAACACTGAAAGGGTTGAACTACTCCATGGTAAGCCAGAAAAATGCCTATGCCAACAATCTGCTTTTCAAGGGCCACATCAAGACCTGCAGATTTTCATTTCTGTGCTATGCCCCCACCCTCAACCAAGGAAAAGTATAAAAGATGTAGGTCCCACAGACCAACTCCCAAATGCCTGACTGTCCTCAAATGAGATATAGTTAGCCTGCATCTAATATTCAACTTTGAAAATCAGCAGATGTAGCGAATGCGAGATCTCAAGGACCTTATATATAGCTATGTGGCTGTCAAATGGGGGAAGGGATAGATGGAGGGATGGGCCTAAGTTTTAATAGAGTCTGAGCACAGGTGTATCTTCTCACAGGTGAAAGTGTGAGGTGGCTGATACAACCAGGACATATCTGTCACATCTGAAGGTTCTTACTTTCAAGGGATTTCCAAACTAGATTTCACTGATACCCATGAGAAATAAGAAACTATAATATTTTCACATAAAGAAAATGAGAGAAAAGGTGTTCTGAGTCAGGAGCTTCAAGAGCTAGCTAAAATTGGGTGAAACTGGTTGTTTAATCAAAGAGGCTGGAAGTAGGACAAAGGTTAAGCTTTACTTAGAGTGTGCATGCTTGAAATTTACCAAGGGGAATGTGTGGTGGGCGTTTCGGGATGTCTATGACCTGAGCTGACTTCTGCCTATGAAAGTCAGCTAGGAGGGACTGGCAGCTGGGAATGGGGATATAAGGATTACTCTTGCTTCTGTTGGGGGTGTGTCCTCATCCCAGGTTCCACACCCTCTTCCTTCAGGAAGCATGTTAAAGGTTTCGCTGCTTCACTCATCCTGAATCTAACTTACTATGTCTATTTGGGCACCAGAGGTTATTTCCAACACCTATATTGTTGTGTTTTCTAATTTCTACTTCAAACCTTACTCTGAATTTCTTAGAAGTATAGCTATCTCCCCTCCACTTAGAGTGAAAAGAAGTATGATTAAACAACTAGGCAAGTTTTCTTGACTTTATATATAACATATGATTATCTATCTACGCACACATATATAACATTACCACGTTATCATATTTAGTCAGGAAAACCATATGTGCGTGGACCTATACATTTATGTGTATAGATATGTGTATACACACATATCTACATATATGTATATATCTATATGTCTATATCTATCTATCATCTATCATATCTACACTGTTGCCTGTTCTGTAGAGTAGATCAGACTCAGACTCCACCCAATGGAGTTTGTAATTGATAGTTTTCCAAAGATGTTATTACCATTCTGCCTATAATTCGACCTTATCCTAATAGAGTAGGCCACTACTTTCTCTTTCTCTCAACTTAAAAGCAAGCTAAGGGACTGTGTAACAATGAAAGACTTTCTAAAGGCATAGAAAGTTAGAAAGAAGAAAGTGATCCCCATCAAACAGAAGAATTCACCATTTGTAAAATGTTTCTGGGGCTCACCAGTTCTCACAACCACGCACTTAACATAGTTCATAAGTTGTATATTTAGAAGGGGACTAGATGACCATTAAGGTCCCTTCCAAATCTGAAATTATGTGATCCTGTGGTTATTTTTTCACTACAAAGGGTACTTAGCACTGGTTTTCCTAAGACACATAGCCCTCTGTTTTATTTCAGGGAATTATCTTGCTCCCTCCTATGTTTGGGGAAAACATACCTTTGCCATATTTGAAAGGTAAGTCTTTCTTCTTAGTCTTTTGACAAACACAGTAACTCCTATAGAAACACAAAACAAACAAGTGAATATCATTTTTTATTTCATATTTTCAAATTTAAAAAATCAAGGAATGCGGGAGCCAAGATGGTGGAGAAAGCAATAAATCACTATAACTCTCCCATATTCACCTCCAAAAAAAACACCCCATAAAATAATTCCCCAAAACAAATCCTGAAACAGCAGAACCAGGAAAAAGAGGGAGTGAAACAATCTTTGAACACAAGAAACTTGGAAAATCGGCAATAAAGGTCTGTCTCACTCAGGTAAAAGGGGAGCAAATTCCAGGACAGGAAGCATCCCAGTAAGCCAGCAGCAAGCCCCAACTCAACAAAACAACAGTGTATCCTTAGCCTCAATGTGGTAGAGCAGGCAAATGACAATTCCAGGACCCCCAATGTGCCTCAGCATAGCCAGGGGACCAGGAAGACTCCAGCTCTGAGAACCACCACTTACTTCAGCATAGGCCTAGACAAATAGGCAACCTTCAGTGGCCAGACTACTCCATGCTTCAATGTAGCCTGGGGAAACACAGAAATACCCCACCAGCCTCAGCACACACACCAGACAACAGCACTAGGACCCCAGCTCAGCCAGGTAAGCTGCTAGACCCCTACAGCCTCCAGCTGCACCAGCCACCTCCCCCCTTCCTACTCCCTCAGTATAGCACCAGACACAAGTGTTCCCGATAGGCTTTAGAGCAATATCAGTACAAAATCAGGTAAACAGCCATGGCTTGCAGCCCCGGGTACAAGAAGCCTAAGACAGTGCCCCTTCCACCCTGAGAGCAGAGCTCAAATTTAAAAGAAAGGGAAAAGGTTAAAAAAAGAGAGAGAGAGAGAGAGAGATGAGCAAAAACAACAACAACAACAACAACAACAACAAAAAAGGATCTGACCATAGAGAGTTATTATGGTGACAGGGAAGATCAAGACACAAACTCAGAAGAGGACAGCAGTGGGAAAAACCCCAAAGAAAAACAGGAAGTGGTCTCAAGCCCAGAAAACTCATGGAAGAGCTCAAAAAGGAGCTTAAAAATCATATGAGAAGTAGAAGAAAAATTGGGAAAAGAAATGAGAGTGATGCAACAGAACTATGAAAAAAGAGTCAACAGCTTAGAAAAAGAAAACAACTGCTTAAAAAGCAGAATTGTCCAAATGGAAAAGGAAATACAAAAATCTACTGAAGAAAACAACTCCTTAAAAAGTAGAACTGGCCAAATAGAAAAGAAAATACAAAAGCTAATAGAAAACAACTTCTTAAAAGTTAGAATTGGGCAAGTGGAAACTAATGACTCTATGAGACATCAAGAATCAATCAAACAAATTCAAAGAAATGAAAAAATAGAAGAGAATGTAAAATAACTCATAGGAAAAACAACTGACCTGGAAAATAGATTCAGGAGAGGCAACGGACTACCTGAAAGACATAATCAAAAGGGGGACCTAGACAGAATCTTTCAAGAAATTATCAAGGAAAACTGCTCTCATATCCTGGAACCAGAGGACAAAATAGGCATAGAAATAATCTACTGATCACCTCAGGAAAGAGATCCCTAAATAAAAACTACAAGGAACATTATAGCCAAAAATTCAGAACTATCAGGTAAGGAAAAATACTGCCAGTGGCCAGAAAGAAATAATTCAGATATTGGGGAGCCATGATCAGGATTACCCAGGATTTAGCAGCTGCAACATTAAAGAACTGGAGGTCATGGAACACGATATTCTGGAAGGCAAGGGAGCTAGGACTACAACTAAGAATCAACTATACAGCAAAATTAAGCCTAATACAATCAAGGGGAAAAAATGGTCCCAAACCATTCTTCCCAAACAACATACTTGCCTTTTAGTAATATTATGGTAGGATCCTAGATTCAGGCTAGAACGGCCCTTAGAGGTCATTTAGTCCAACACCCTCATTTTATAGATGAGGAAAGAAAGGAAAGTTCAATGACTTGTCCAAGGTCATACGAGTATTATTGAACCCAGGTCCTCTGACTTTAGAGCCAGTGTTCTTCCTAATGTACTATCTTGCCTTCTAGTCTTTCTTGCTCGTATTTAAGAAAAATTCCATTAAGTCAAGCTTCACACAGAATGCTTAGGTGCTAGAAAAGTTAGTTTTATCTTTAAGTAAGAGATCGAAACTCTGAGCATTTTCCACCCAATTCTGAACCACCTCGACTGAGCTCCTTGCCAATTTACTATGCCATCTAGGATTTGAGAAAAGGAAAGGAATTCTTTAAAAAGTGTTTACTTCCTCTCTTAACCAAATTGCCCTCATTTTTTCTATTCTTAGGTAGAAAAATAAAGGTAATAATGGAATGTACCTCAATGAGTTATTGTGAGTACCTAAAAGTCCTATATAAATGATAGCTATTATTATTTAATCTTAGTGTTATTCTTGATTCTTTTTTCCACATTTCCTATCAGCTGCCAAATATCACTATTTCTACCTCCACAATGTCTCTCATATCTTTCCCCTTCCCATTACTCAACCACCGTGTTAGTTCATGCTTTTGTCACCTTTTACTTGGGCTATTGTAATAGCTTCCTAATTGGTACCCCTGCTTCAAGTTTCTCTCCACTTCAGTCGATCCTCCACATTTTAGGAAGGATGCTGGCTCTAGCAAGTGTTGAGAGAAGAATAACCAGGATAAGGGGAAATTCTTTTAATCATGCCATTTGAAGATTAGTCAAAAAAAAAGCCAACTTGGTGGTGTTTAGCCTAAAGAAGAGACTTGAGTTGAATATGATACCTATATCCGCGGATTTGGAGGTCTGCCACGTAGAAGAGAAATTAAACTTGTTCTGTTTCTCCCCAGAGATTTGAATTATGAACAATGGATAGAAATTGCAGAGAGGCAGATCTTAGCTTGGTAAAAGGAAAAACTTCATAATAATTGCAGCTATAAAAATAACATAAAATAGACTGCCTTGGGAAGTAACAGGTTCCCCTGACTGGAGGTCTTCAAGCAAGGGCTGGATGATCATTTGTGGATATGTTGTAGAAGGAATGTATGGTCATGGGTGAGTTGGACTACCAGGTTCCTGAGACCCCCTCCTATGCTGACATTCTTGGAGAAATCTCCCACCTACGGAGAGGAAGAAGAAAGAAGAGCAGCTAATAAGCCAGTCGAAGAGAGATAGTGAGGCAAGAAAAGAACTATAAGAGAGGAGTAAAAGCCAGTGGAGAAGAGAATTTAATGAAGAAGGAATGTTTAATAGGAGTTCAAGGAGACTGAAGACTGAGGAAAAAAGCACTGAATTTAGAAAGAAAGAGTTCATTGGTTTCCAGGAGGGTGGTGGGAATGGAAACCAGATTGTAGGAAGAGGACACTCATTGACAATTTTCCAGTCCAGTATTTGATACCATAATGAATGTCTTAATAATATTCCCTCAGGTACTTCTCCCTCCTAGCCCTTCTGTTTCTCTTGTTAAGCAGGGGAAAAGGAATTGAGAAAGAGGTAAGATCACTTTTTCAATAAGATTATTTAAATACTTACACTATGCAGCCAAGCCAAGCCTGACAAAATATCATTAGAATCATGGATAAGTCTTTCCCAAGTGATTCCAACTAAATTCCCCTCCAAGGAATATATAAACAGAAGATTTACCATCTTGGATTCCAACTTCACCAGCCAAATTTCTAGAATCATAAAGGTCTCATTCAAGGATGAATGAAATGGGGAACCCTAACACCCCATGAGTTGCTTCAAATCTGTCCCAGCTTCCACCACTCTACTACAAACAAATGATGGTAATTGCCCCTTTTATCTTAGAAAAAATACAATGGTCAATTTCAGTCGCTGGCAATTATCAGAATGTTATTGCTTCTACTCCATCCCCTGTGGTCACATTCCCAGTGTGTTCTCCATGGGGACAGCTGCCGGATGTCCACAAGCACTCAGCCAATCAGCAAACATTTATTAATCACTTACTGCATGCCACACACTGGTGCTACAAAGAAAGGAGAGAACATTTTCCTCCAGCATCTCACATTCTAATTTATTCACAAAGAATGAAACATTCCCTACTTGATCTATATATCTTATCCTTCCAGACTCTACCTGACCTAGAGTTGTGGCTGTCTTGCTTCTCTAGTAACTGTGTCACTGCTTCCACTATAGGGGAGTCCAAGACGTTAATAAAATATGGATGATCTACATTATTGATTATCCCAGGAACTAGTTATGCAGGTTAGAATGAATGTGAGATCTTAGAGGGCAGGTGCTGTTTCACTCTGGTCTCTCTATCTCCCCAATGCCTACCACAGTGCCTGGCACATAGCAGGTACTTGATAGATGCTTGCTTGATTGCTTCTCCTTGTTTCCAGGTGCAGCTGGGCTGTAGGGACATTGGATGGAGAGTCCACAATGGCAGAAAATAGTGCTGAAGCTCTCTACTTGTCTCATTAGACTGGTAGGAGTAGTAGACTAGGTTGGGGTTAGGGGGCTATGGTAGTGGGGAGTAATAGCTGAGTGACCCTCATTGCTCAGCAGCCTCCATTAACTCCTGACCACTCCTAGAGGGGCCCTATCTATTATCCAACGCTCTGTTATCTGTACTGCTGCTACCCTCCATTACTGGAGCTAACAGAGTTGATTGTATAGAGAAAACTTGACTGAGCAGGGAGAGCTGCACAGCTGCTGCTTATCTCTGTGGTAAGCTGGCTTCATTGGCTAGAGCTCTGTGCTAATGAGGTCCCTGATGAAAATATTACTAAAAGGCAAACAGTAGGACAGTGAGCTGTACTTTGCTCCATGGCACCCGACTCCTACGCCAGTTATTGGCTATTTCACAAATTTCTGTTTCTGGGCCATAAGTGGGGTTGGGTGAGAAAATATCTAAGTGAATCTATCTCTCATGCTCCTCCATCCCCAAAGGGCTCTGCTGATGGTGAATAGTGTGATATAATAGAAAGGGTACTGGATTTGGAGTAAGAAAACCTGAGTTTGAAATCTTGGAGATGACCCTTACTAGTCATGTGACTTTGGGAAAGTCACTTTACCTCTCTGGGCCTCAGTTTCCTCATCTGTAAAAATGAGGGACTGAACAAGTTGACCGCTGAGGCCAGCACTAGTAGCACAGTGCCTGGCATACAGCAAGCTCTTAATAAATGCTTATTGACTGACTGACTGATCTAGGGGTTAATAAATACTGGCACCTACCTGAATGAAAAGCGATACAACTATAAAACAGTTCTAATTTACTGACGCAGCTAAAAATGCATTTTTATGTAATGACTATTCTTGTTGGAATGTACCTTTGATCTTGGAGATCCGTAAGAGGGGTGGAAAACCTTCCAAGGCATTAAGTAGCCAGAGTTTAAATTTTTTACTAAACAACTTGACTGATTTCAGGTACTGAATAGAAACATCTTCCAGGAAATCATGAAGTAGAATGTCCTCAATTTCCTATAACAAAAGTTTCATGTTATTGTGACTCTCCCTGCAATAAGGAATTCCTACAATTCCTTGGTGACCAAAGGACCTCCATTCAATAGCAAAATCTGAAGCCCTTAGAAGTCACCACGTAGATTATTTCCCGAAGGGTGATGAGGTTTAACATTAGCTGAAAAGATCCAACCATAGATATGGCAAAGAAGCCTTGGCAAAAGTAGAAATTAAACTTTTTAAAAATTAGAGGCAAAATAATAACTAATTTTTTGTTGTTTGGGGTGGAAGTGCAGACCTGTGATTTATCATATTATCATCATAGGGAGCAATCCTTTCTACTGATGCAAATTAACAATTCATCTGAATCTAAGAGAGCTATTTGGGAGCACTGAAAGATTAAGTGACTTTGCCCATGATCATGCTGCTAATATGTGTCAGTGTCCAGATGTGAACCCAGGTATTCCTGACTCTAAGGCCATTCACTATGTCATGCTGCCCCTCTTTAAGGTTGCAACTTTTAAAATACTGACAATTATTTAAACTTTCACAATTTAAATGATCTCCAAAGTCAAGGAGAAAGCTGAGATGATCATTCTGATGACTCTTGCCACCTTCCACCCCCATCACCTCCGTTTTGTCATAATTAATCCAAGAATGGACTTTTCTGTAGTTAAAGGATTCACTAGACCTCTAGGATCATTCTGAATCAGGGCTAACCCAGGGAGGAAAAACCAAATCTTAGGCAGGAGCTGGAACACTCCTGTTTCATTAACCCCATCACTCTTCAGTAAGCCTGAAGTCAATGGAAGTTAAGGAAAAGGGAGAGCTGGACTTGTGATCCCAACATTTGGTATCAATTCTCATAGAGGATATGAATCAGAAATTCAAACAAATGTCTGCATACCTTGTACAGCTGGGCATCATAGCATTTAAAGAGCTGGCAAACATCAGGTGATGACATGAACGTTACAATATCTTGTTGCAGAGACTTCCAAAAAAGAAAGAGCAAATCTTCAACCTATTGTAAGTAAGAGATGACATCACTCAAAGTTCATTTTAGGTCCATTATGACTAAGCCTCCATGGATATTTAATCAGCTCTAAGAGTTGTAATAGAATAAATTGTTTTCCAATTAATTTTAAAATTTGGCTGCGGACCATCACTATCAACTTCATGAAGCTGCTCTCTAAAGTATTCCTTGAGGAAACCTGTCAGGAAGTGTGTGCCAGATGAGTGGGATAACATAGAACATATGTTCTGAATGGGGAGTAGACGTCCCATGCAGGGAGTTAAGCAAAGCTGTTCCTTGAACACAAGGTATCCCTTATTGGGCACAAGGTGATAAGAGAAGACTTCCTGGCCTACAACTCTGTTGTTGAGTGGATGAATTAGTGAGTGCACTGATCAATCAATAATTCTTTATCCAGAACTGAAAGAATTAATATCAGTGTTTATTTTGGAAAGGATCTTACATAAATTTGGTTGGAATAAACATGATCATACTTGCAAAGAAATTAATGTCAACCCATGAGGCTGAAAGTCTCAGATAGAGACTTTATGCCAATGATTTATCTTTCAGAAAAAACTAATACCTCTCCGTCATCCAGAAAAGTTAGGAATTATGTGTAGCCAAGAAATCCACTCCTTTTTTTTCCTGAGTGACTTTTTAAGTTCCATTTTTATACAGGGCAGGAAATATGAGTCATAGAATCATAGGATTTTAAAGCTACAAGATCGGTCAGAAGTTATTCTAGCCAATTCTCTCTCTGTCTCTCTCTGTCTCTCTCTGTCTCTCTGTCTCTCTGTCTCTCTCTCTCTCTCTCTCTCTCTCTCTCTCTCTCTCTCTCTCTCTCTCTCTCTCTCTCTGTCTTTCTCTCTCTCTCTCTCTTTCTCCTCCCCCTCCCTCCCTCCCTCTCTCTTGGACTAGACTTGTGATTTCATCAGTATAGGGAACTACCAAGGCAGATTGGCACTCTCTGTGCAATTAATAGTCTTAGAGAGTTGCTTGCGACGCTAAGACGTGTGATTTTCCCACGAGTATCCAGCTAGTATGCATCAAAGGCAGGACCTGAACCCAGGTTATCTTGACTCAGAGGCCAGCTCTCTATGCACTATGCAACACTGATCCTCATTTTAGGGCTGAAGAGAATTAAGTCCCAAACAGTGAATGTCCTCAGTCATACATCTAGCAAGTGGCATAGACCTCTGGTAACCAAGCCTCACCCTCGATCTCTGGAATCATGTTTCCATTACCAGAAAGGGGCAGGAGGTGCTATCTAATTTACCCAAAATCAGTGCTGTTACAGACCCTGGTGGGTAGCTATCCTCAGGTACAAGTGGGTGAGCACTCATACAGCTATCCATTCCACATAGTTGGGGTTAGGGGCATGGTGTACCCACGATCTGGAAAATCCTTGTAAAAATTTTTGGCCCTCCCTTCAAACCACAGAAGAATTCTGAATTTTTTCTTGTTCTTTTATGGGGTGTTTATAGTACCTTATTATAAAATTTGGGTCAAGCATTTGATCATAAGCTCTGTGTCACTTGCTGGCTTTCACGAATCATCTGCTTCTTCCACAAAACTCCCCCAAAATTCCCATTTAAACTTTCATGATTTAAATGACTTCCAAAGTCAAGGAGAAAGCTGAGATGATCATTCTGATAACTCTTGCCACCTTGGTATATTGAAACCAGGATGGGGGAAGTTGTAATGTGGAATTTCAACTTGAATAGAAAATACAGCTAATCTAGAGTTACCTGGGGAATGGATAGTACGTTGGCCCAAATATAGGCCATGATCCTAAAATAAAATGACTTTGAAAAGAAAATTCAGGTAGACGGCAAAAAATAACTACAAAAAAAATTCTGTCGTATGAAAAAGTCTGATTATCCATTTAGGAGAAATCTTTTTTTTCCCCTAAAATTAAATAAGTTCTTGCCTTATTTGACAAGGCATGCACTCAGGAGGTGAGGACATTTTTGTTGTTGTTCAGTCATTTTCAGTCATGTCCAACTCATGATACCATTTGGATCGGTCAGAAGTTATTCTAGCCAATTCTCTCTCTGTCTCTCTCTGTCTCTCTGTCTCTCTATCTCTCTGTCTCTCTCTGTCTCTCTGTCTCTCTCTCTCTCTCTCTCTCTCTCTCTCTCTCTCTCTCTCTCTCTCTCTCTTTCTCCTCCCCCTCCCTCCCTCCCTCCCTCTCTCTTGGACTAGACTTGTGATTTCATCAGTATAGGGAACTACCAAGGCAGATTGGCACTCTCTGTGCAATTAATAGTCTTAGAGAGCTGCTTGGGACGCTAAGACGTGTGATTTTCCCACAAGTATCCAGCTAGTATGCGTCAAAGGCAGGACCTGAACCCAGGTTATCTCGACTCAGAGGCCAGATACCAGAGTGCTTTGTCCTTTCCTTCTCTAGTTCCTTTCACAGATGAGAAAGTTGAGGCAAACAGTGTTAAGTGACTTGCCCAGGATCATTCTGCTCGTAAGTATCTGAGGCCAGATTTGAACCCATGAAGATGAGTCTTCTTGACTCCAGGCCCAGCACTTATCTATAAAGATGAGAAGATGTAGATTCATGGCTAAAGAGGAGGTTGAAGTAGGTTGGTCACTTTCACTGCCTTTTCTTAAACACAAATCTGGTCATGTCACTCCTGCATTCAAAAATCTTCAGCAGTTTCCTACTGTCTAATGAGTAAAGTTCAACTTTTTTTTTTGTCTGGCATTCAGAGCTCTCTACAATTTCCAGACATATCTCATCTTACTTCCCCTCATTTACTCTACGGCTCAGTCAATAGCTAATAATATTTATCAGGCTAGGACTAAATACTAAGGCACTGTGCTAAGCACCAAATTGAGCTTTGCTTGCTAGAACTCATCCCTCACTCTACTACCTTTTTGAGTTTGCTCAGGCTACTCCTTATTCCTCTAATACCCTCTCTCCTTCTGGTTGTTTAATCACTATATATCTTTTAAATTCTGATTCAAATGTCTTCTCCTTGAAGCTTTCCTTGATTCCTCCCAGCATACATCTTGTACCTCATATAAACTTTGCTTTTCTTTTTATTATTATTTATTTTAAGCATTCTTTTTTTAAAGTTTTGAGTGCCAATTTCTCTTCCTCCCTTACACACTTCCCCCATCTACTGAGAAAGCAAGCAAATGATATCAATTATACATGTGATGATGCAAAACAAATTTCCATATTAGCCATATTGGGAAAAAAAAGCAAAACAAAAATAAACAAAGCAAGAAAATTATAGTTCAATTTGCATTGAGAGTTCATCAGTTTTCTCTCTGGAGGTGGACAACACTTTAATCATGAGTCCTTTGGAATTATCTTTGATCATTGTAATGATCACAGCAGACAAACTTCACAGTTGATTATCATTACAACATTGCTGTTACTGTGCACAATGATCTCCCAGTTCTTCTAACTTCATATCACATCAGTTCATGTAAGTTTAGCCATGTTTTTTTTTTCTGAAACCACATGCCTCATTATTTCTTACAGCATAACAGTATTCCACTGCAATCATATGCCACAACTTGTTCAACCATTCCCCTATTGATGAGCATCCCCTCAATTTCCCATTCTTGGTTACCACAAAAGAGCTGCTATAAATATTTTTAAACATATAGGTCTTTTCCTTTTTCTTTAATCTTGTTGGGATATAGACCTAGTAATGATATTGCTGGATCAAAGGGTATGCACACTTTTATAGTCCTTTGGGTGTAGTTTCAAATTATTCTCCTGAATCTTTGGACCAGTTCACAACTCCACCCCGGGTTCATTAGTGTGCCTATTTTCCCTTATCCTTTCCAGTATTTGTCATTTCTGATAGGCGTGAGGTGGTACCTTAGAGTTGTATTAATTCGCATTTCTCTAATCAATAGTGATTTAGAGCATTTTTTTTAACATGACTAAAGATAGCTTTGATTTCTTCTTCTGAAAATGCCTCTTTATATCTTTTGACCATTTACCAACTGGGCAATGGCTCCTATTTTTATAAATTTGACTCCGTTCCCTAAATAATTGAGAAATGAAGCTTTTATCAGAGAAACTTACTGTAATTTTTTTTTAATATTGCTTCATTTTCTATAGTGCCCTTTAGCAAAATGTAGTTTCCCTGCTTATTTCTTTTAATTAGGTCACTTTTTGCTTTTGCTTTGTCTGAGATCATGATTGCTACCCCTTTTTTACTTCAGCTAAAGCATAATAGATTCTACTTTAGCCTTTTATTTTAACTCTGTGTGTGTGTATCTGTTTCAAGTGTGTGCTTGTAAATAACATATTGTTGGATTCTGGTTTCTGATCCATTTTGCTATCCACTTCCACTTTATGGGTGAGTTCATCTCATTCATATTCACAGATGTTATTTTTAACTGTGTATTTCCCTTCATCCTATATTTTCCTTATTTATTCTTCTCTCTATCTTTTTATCCTATTTAGATCTCACATGTGAAGATGATACATGTAACCCTCAGAATTTTATTATTATTAAGGCTGTTAGAGGAAGTCTAATTAGATTATGTTGAGATGCTCTCAGAAGAATGGAAGGATGAGAAAGGATGACAGCAGCAATACTCTAATGCCGCTCCCATCTGAACTGGTTCAATGAGGAAAGAATATACATACACACAGTTGGGTATAGAAATTCATCTTACCCAACAAGGAAGTAGGAAGGAAAGGGGTTAAGAGAAAGAGGTAAGGGATAACATAGAGGGTAGATTAAAGAAGACAGTGGTCAGAAGCAAAATAGATTCCTGAGGAGGGCACAGGATAAAAAAGAGAGAGATAAGAAAATAATATGAAGGAAAATACATAGTTAGCAATCTCAACTGTGAATGTGAATGGAATGAATGCATCCATAAAATAAAACATGATTATCAGAATGGATTAGAAACTGGAATCTAACAAAATGTTGTTTACAAGAAATACACTTGAAACAGAAAGATACATGCAGAGGTAAAATGAGGGGCCGGAGAAGAATCTATCATGCTTCAGCTGAAGTAAAAGACAGGGGTAGATGTCATGGTCAAAGACAAAGCAAACACAAAAATAGACCTAATTAAAAGAGATATTTTGCTAAATGGTACCATGTATAATGAATTAATATCAGTACTGAACATATATGTGCCAACTGGCATAGCATCTAAATTCTTGAAGAAAAAGTTAAATGAGTTAAAGGGGGAAATATAAAATAAAACTTTTATACTGCAAGACCTCAACTTATCCCTCTCAGACCTAGATAAATTTAACCATAAAATAAACAAAATACAAATTAAGGAGATGAATAGATTTTTACAAAAGTTATATACACTACATCTCTGGAGAATATTGAAAGGGAATAGAATGAAGTATGCCTATTATTCATCTGAGTATAGAATCTTCACATAAATTGATGACACATTAGGGCATAAAAACATCACAGACAAATGAGGAAAGGCAGATATAGTAAATGCATCTTTTTCTGGTGGTAATGTAATAAAGATTACAATTAATAAAGGGCTTTAGAAACAGATTAAAATGAATTGGAAACTAAATAATCTAATCCTAAAAAAAAAGAGTGGGTCAAAAAACAAAACACAGAAATAATCAATAATTTCATTATGGTTAATAATAATGAGACAACATACCAAAATTTGTGAGATGCAGCCAAAGCAGTACTGAGGGGAAATTTTTTTATCCCTAAACACTTATATCAATAAAAGAGAGAATGAGTAGATCAACAGATTGGGCATGCAACTAAAAAAAAAAACTAGAAAAACAACAAATTAAAAATTCCCAATTAAATACCAAAATAGAAATCCTGAAAATCAAAGAAGATATTATTAAAATAAAATTGAAAGTTAAAAAAAAACACTGAACTAATAAACAAAACTAGGAGCTGTTTTTATTTTAAATATATTAGCTAATTTAAATTTTTTAAATTTTCCTACCTAATTGGATTTTTAAAAGGAAAGAAGAAAACCAAATTACCAGTATCAGGAATGAAAAAGGTGAATTCACAACTAATGAAGATGAAATAAAAGCAATTATTAGGAGCTATTTTACTCAACTATATTCCAATAAAACCAACAATCTAAATGAAATATAAATTACCCAGATGAACATAGCAGGAAATAGAAGACAAGTAACTGTATCTTAGAAAAAGAAATTGAACAAGCTATATAGAGCTTTCTAAGGGGAGAAAAAAAAAATAAAAACCAGGACCAGATGGATTTACAAGAGAATTTTACCAAACATTTAGAGAACAATTAATTTCAATACCATATAAACCGTTTGAAAAAATTAAAGGTAAAAAAAGGGTGCTATACCAAATTCCTTCTGTGACATAAATATAGTCTTGATACCTAAGCCAGGTAGAGCAAAAACAGAGAAAGAAAACTATAGACCAATTACCCTACTGAATGTTAATTAAAAATTATAAATAAAATACTAGCAAGGAGATTATAATAATAAATCACAAAGACTATCACTATGACCAGGTCGGATTTATACCAGGACTTCAGAGCCAGTTCAATATTAGGAAAACCACAAGCAATAATTTACCATATAAATCACAGAAACAATAAAAATCATATGATTATTTCAATAGATGCATTAAAAGCTTTTTGACAAAATACACCTATTCTTGTTTAAAAAAAAACTTGAAAGCATAGGAATAAATGGAGTTTTTCTTTTTTTTTTTAAATCTTTTTTTTTGGGGGGGGGGTGTTAGGCAATGGAGTTAAGTGACTTGCCCAGGGTCACACAGCTAGTAAGTGTTATGTGTCTGAGGCCGGATTTGAAATCAGGTCCTCCTGAATCCAGCGCCAGTGCTCTATCCACTGCACCACCTAGCTGCCCCCTGGAGTTTTTCTTAAAATGATAAGTAGCATCTATCTATAACCAAGAGTAAGCATTATCTTTAATGGGGATAAGATTAGAGTGAAGCAAGGATGACTGTTATCACTATCATTATTCAATATTGTACTAGAAATGCTAGTTACAACAATAAGACAAGAAAAAGAAATCAAAGGAATAAGCATAGACAATGAGGAAACAAAACTATCACTTTTTTGTAGATGATGTGATGGTTTACTCAGAGAACCCTAGAAAGTCATCTAAAAAACTAGTTAAAACTAATGAACAGCAAAGTTGCAGGATATGAAATAAATCTACACAAACCATCAGTATATCTGTATATTACCAACAAAACCCAGTAGGAAGAGATAGAAAGAAAAATTCTACTGAACGTAATTAGACTACTTGTATAAAATACTTGGGAATCTATTTGCCAAGTGACATGCGGGGTCTATATGAACACAATCACAAAACACTCTTTACACAAGACATCCAAATAATTAGAGAAATGTTCATTGCTGATAGATAAAACCAATATAATAATGCATAGGATTACAGTGGAAACCAATATGTATCTATATCTGTACATCAGTATTATAGGTGGGAGACATCTAGGTGGCATAATATATCCACTGGGCCTGGAATTAGGAGTTTAATTCTGACCTCAGATACTTACTAGTTGCATGACTCTGGGCAAGTCACTCAACCCCTATTTGTCTCAGTTCCTTATCTGTAAGGGCACACTGGAGAAGGAAATGATAATAGTGGCTAAAGAACTGTCCTTTCTTCTTCCTTTCCTTTGTCCCCATTCCTGTGATTTTTTGTTTGTTTTTTTTCTTTTGGGGGAGGTAATTGAGGTTAAGTGACTTGCCCAGGGTCACACGTAGCTGGTAAGTGTCTGAAGCTGAATTTGAACTCAGGTCCTCCTGACTCCAGGGCCAATTGTCTATTTACTGTGCCACCTAGCAGCTGCCCCTAATTCTGTGGGGTGTGTGTGTGTGTGTGTGTGTGTGTGTGTGTGTGTGTGTGTAGGGAACTTCCAGTGTGGAAACTCCCTTCAATACAGATTGGCCACTCTTTGGTAATTTATAGTCTCAGAGAGCTGTCTTGCTCTCTAATGAGAAGTTAAATTACTTTTTCATAGTCACATGGGTAGTATTTTCAGAGGCTGAACTGAAACTCAGGCTTTTCTGACTCCAAAGTTGGCTCTTTATCCACTAACCCATACTGCCTCTCTTAATTATCTCATACAATGTTTAAATTTTATACTAAATGGACACATATGAACTTATACCTATTAACTAGCTAAATGATATGGTTATTCATTAAATATCACCTCTGTGATTTATTAAAATAAAACCATTAATAAGTGTGGCCCATGTTGACAGGAGGAATGCCCATACCCATAAAACCACAGGTATTTCAAAGTACTGTGGCACCTTTAATAACTTCATTCTGGTATGTAAAATCCTACCCTGTCAAGCTCCTGATTCCTCACATTTTGTAAAATATCTTGACAGTAGTTGCAATATTCGTCAGCAAGAAATACAACCTAGGTCAGAGAAGAATAATTATTTCAGTTCTTGCCAGTTCATTCTCCAGAGTCCTCTTCTATACTTTGCCCCCACCACTGGAGTCTTTATACTAAGACCATTCAAGCTCGAGACAAACAACAAATAATACTTTACATGTGGATAGCTCCATTGAGTCTCATTTCCCATCTGAAAACACCCTATCTTTCCCACCTCTACTCCTCCCCTTTTTAATACCCACCAACTTTTGCTCTTCTTCAAGTCACTAACTCCTCATTCCTTTCCCTTCATTGCTCTCCTGTCCCAACTACTCTCCTTCATAAACGGAAATCTTTTTTCCTTTCCTTTCACATTGATGCAGCCCCAAACTGAGAGCTAATCAAAGTATCTCAAATCTAGGGACAGCCCTTAGGAAGCAGTGGAGACCAAGTGAAGTCCCCAGCCACCACGGCTCCCTCTGAAGAATACAGGGCTTCCTTTTTCAACCTGAAACATTCCCACAGGTTTCATCCCTGAGGGAGCCCTTCCCCAGATTCTCAGATTCAGGAAAGCAAAAGTGAAGCTTGCTCATCGCCATCTGAGGTATCATCAACAGAACTTTCCTGCCTGAAGGGGCACACAAAATGAAAATATGACTTCTTTCCAGAAGTTCAAACTTACCATTTTATAAGAGTATTTTTTTGCCAGTTCTTGCTCCCAAAAAGGAAATCTCCTGAATTCACACAAAGGAGATCCAACTGTATCTGTCTTTGTCTGTGAATTAACATCAAGCTAGAAAAAGTTTAGAAAATGTCTTAATTCCTTCATAAAATATTTATTATCCTGCAACAAACTATATTAATAGAAAGTAAACAAAAAACTTGTCAACAGATTTCATTGCTTTAATAGTCTGCCAGAAGGCCAGGACATATAGGACTGTTCCAAGGAAGAACTCAAATAACCTAAACCTCTTTCTCTATATTGCTGAGATCTGTAGTTACCTTGTAGTGCAAGGTTATAGATTTAATATCCTGTGAAAATAATTTGTGAATCTGAAGCCAGAAACTTGAGTGAAACTTGAGAAAATCACTGAAACTGTGCTGAAGATGGAAAGAGTTAGACTGTGTTGGAACATGCATACTATTTTGGGTATATAGAAATACGCATATTTTTCCAAATTCTTTTCTATCCTGTGTACATTTTGGCATTGTCAATCATCTATAAATCCCATAACTTAAATTTGCTTGTATAAATATTTGCAGATCAAACTGCTTTATGGAACAAATGCCATAAAAAATTACAAGTATTTCCAGGTTTCAGCTGATTATGCACTATATGAATACTTTCATTGATGGTTTCACTAAAAAACACCCTTACAAATATGAATAATTTAGTATGATGTGTACTTTCTCTTATGGGTATATCCATAATAGTTACTTGCTATGATAAAAGCCTCAAAAATTCTCCTCTCTCAAGGAGTTCCTCTTACATGTGTTAAGATCATGCACAATATCTAACAAACGCAATAACAAATAACACTTTTCAAAAATTATCTGATTAGTAACATCAACATTCCAACCCTATTCCTGTGCCTTTACACTGGCTGTTTCCCATGTCCAGAAGGTACTCCCTCTACACCTCTGCCTTTTAGAATAATAACAATAGTGATGATGATCATGATGACTGGTGATGATTGCTAACATTTATATAGCATTGCAAGGTTTATAAAACACTTTACAGATGTTATCTCACTTTATCCTCACAACAACCTCGGGTGGTAGGTGCTATTATTACCTCCATTTTACAAATAAGGAAACCAGGGCAGACAAATTAAGTAGCTTGTCCAGGGTCACACAGCTAGTGAGTGTCTGAGACTGGATTTGCACACAGATCTTCCTGACCTCAGGTCTAGTGCTTTATCCACCATGCCACCTACCTCAATTCAAAATCCATTTCAGATGACAATTCATATATTTGGCTTTTCCTGATGCTCTCAAATGCTAGCAATCTTACCACAATTATTTTGTATTTAGTTATATGTGTAAATATTATTTCCACAGACTGAATGTAAGTTCCTTGAGGCAAGGTATACTTCATTTTTGTCTTTGTATTCCCTTGTATCTAGCACAGTGACCAGAATATTATCAGTGTTTAATCAATGCTTGTTAATTCATATATGTCTGCCAAAGGCATTCATTACTAAAAGGAAAGCTGTCTTGCAAGAGATTAAAAAAAAAAGGGGGGATTCCCCATAGAAAGTAATATACTCCAAATTCTCCTGTTTGCATATGACATTGTGCTGACTACGTGAAGCCAAAGAGGGTTATGGGGTCTTCTCCATTATTGCTTGCTTAAGAGAAATTAATGATTACTTCACTGGTTTGTCCAAAAGGTGTTCTGAAAGCACAGATATGGCTGGTAGTGGGAATGGTGGAAGGATTATAGTAAAATGTTTTGTTGCTGAAACTCTAACTCCCCCAAATACATTCATCCATTTTCTCTACAACAACACTGCATCCAACCAAGTCCATTAATCATCTGCTGGTACATCTGTGGTTAACTAGGTCATTTCCCTTATAATAAAGTAGAAATCTGTAAAGCTCAAAGACGTATCAAGTTCATCCTAACAAGTCATATTCAAAAGAGGTCAATTGATAGAATGCAGTATCAGGAAATTTGAGAAACCAACAATGAAGAGAATGGAAAATCTACTAGTGCAGAAAAAAAGTGCATAAGTTCCTGAATTCAATTCCTACAGAGGCCTTAGACCACAGAAACTGTTTATAGGAAAATCTTCTCATTGTAAACCAGTAAAAGGAAATAATCTCGAGTTGTATGAAAGTTTATGAATTATCTTTCCTACACTATTTTTCTTAATCAGAAACCTGCAGTGAAATTTCAAAAGAATAAGTTGGTAACTAATTAATTGGTATCAATGGTATTTGTTTTCTAATTTAACTGGAAATTAATTTAATTAGAATTAATTATCATTCTGAAAAAGCAAAAAAAAGTTCAAAAGGCAATTATTTTCTAACGTGTTATTTGTCAGAGAAGGAATATTTAAAATGTTGATAATATTTTAATAACATCATAGTAATTTTTAAATTAAAATTTACGATAGAGAATGGCCTTAATTCAATTCAGTTTAACAAGCATTTATTAAGTGTCTATTATGTGCTAGGCACTGGGGTAGGCCCTGTGGATACAAGACAGAAAAAAGTCTCTGCCCTCAAGCAGGATACATTCTCTGAGGAGAAATAAATATTACTCCAAAATAAAGTTATTGGGACAGCTAGGTGACACAGTAGATAGAGCACCAGCCCTAAGGTCAGGAAGACCTGAGTTCGAATCCAGCCTTGAACCAAAACACTTGCCACTTACTAGCTGTGCGACCCTGGGCAAGTCACTTAACCCCAATTGCCTAAAAACAAAAACAAAAAAATAAAAAAATTAAGTTATGGAGGTTTCTCCTCCTCCCTTTAGTATTTAAGAGGAAGCATCATGATGCAATCAACTCAAAGGGGAACATATTTCCATATAAATTGTGTATATCAAAAATTCATTTGCTGGATTAAAAATCTGAGGAAACCCAGGCTAGAAGGGTCATTAAAAAAAAGTTAATCCTACAAAGAGGGAATCCCTGAAAATTCAAATGATCTAAAATAATTAAACATACAATGTATGGGTCTATAAGAAGAAAATTTATCAATCAAATTTATTTTCTACTCATGAGCTTTCTAGCAATGATAATTTCTGAGATGATGCTAACTTATTTCCAATTTACTTTGTAATTTAGATATTAGATCTTTTTCTTCAGTGAAACTAAGGCATTTTCTAAAGGGCTTCAAACTGGAAGAACTGAATCATATAGAACATGACATTCTTGCTAAATGAAACTAAAAGAGAGAAGAAAGTTGCAGTTAAAGGAAAGGATGGTTTCACAGGTACTCAGAGAGGCAAAGAAAGGATTGGGAAGAGTGGGGTTTATTGTACATGCAAAAGCAAAAGACCCCACTGAATTATGGGATCATGTTTTGCAAAACTAAAAATAGAGTTATTGCAAAAAGACCATCATGAAAATAATTACAGCATATGTACCAACATCAGTTGCTGGGGATAAAGTGGTAAAGAAATTCTATAAAGGACATGATAAGACTCTCCTAATTAAATTAACATAAAATCTCATACATGGTGACTTCATTGCAAAAGTGGAAAAAGATGAAGATGGGGAGAAATGTATGGGAAAGCATGGTTCAGGAAGAAATGAGAGAGGCCAAAGACACAAAAGTCTCAGACCTCTATATTGTGAACAATCTCTTTGAAAAAAATAATTAGTAGGTTCTAGACATTTGGAACATCAAAAAAAATTGAAATAAATTCTATTTTAACAGATGAAGACTTGTTATTGATATAGAAATTATACTTGATTTAACTGTCTGTAGTTATCCAACCATCAACTCATCAATGCTAAGATCAGAATTGTGAAAATTACTTTAAAAAATAAGAATGAGGGAAATACAGCATATAATTGGAACAAATTAAATCTGAAATATTTAAATAAGTAATGGAAATGAAAAAATGGGAAATGGACAATGGAAATGACATCAATACTGACTATACTAATTTTATCAAGAAGTTTAACCAATGCAAATTAACTGTGTCTATAACAAGGAGGCAGGAAGTATCTTGATCAAAAAATATCTAACTTACTTGCCAAAAAAGTATGGAGAATATAAAATACCATAATGATGATTATTTGTTGATACAAATAAGTATTTGATTTGATAGAATAAATTCTTCTATTCATGCTCTTTTACAAGAAGGTATCTCTGTCCAAACATCAAAATCAGTCAAGAGTCCTTCAAAGATTTATATATAGCAGGAATAACATTGTTCAGTGACCCTCTAGTCACAAACATCAGGTGGAACATAAGACAGGGTTAAATATGCATGCCAAAGGTGTTCATGCCTGTGATAGAGAAGATCCAATGCTAAATCCAGGATAAAGAGCTATTCTCTGTGGATAAGAGTCCTCTAGATGCTCTTGTCTGTAGATAACATTGTGCTGATTGTATCAAGCTCCAGAATATTACACAGTCTTCTGGAAGCAATCATTGAAAGGAATTTGACCGTGTCTATTCACACAGGAAAGACCAAATGGATGAAGTAGATGAAAAATGTTTGTCGTACAGATTGCAACATGCATATGGAATGTATGAATGGGTTTTTTTTTTTAATGTATTAGGTATTCATGTTCCAAACACTATGCTAAGCACTGGGAATACAAATGCAAAAGTGAGGGTCCCTGTCTTCAGAAGCTCACATTCTAATGGAGAAGGCAACCCACACTGGAGAATGGTGGCCCAAGAAGAGGGTTATGGATGTTAAGTGAAAAAATAATGCAGTCCATTACCATCCTTTCCAGAGGCAATGGTGGTAACTTGATCAGAGATCTCAATGAAAGAGGTAGAAAGTGTGGGGCAGGGGAACAAGGAAGGAAGCAGCAGAAGTGACAGAATGGCAAATGGTTGGGGTAAAGGGATTGCAGAGTCAAATAATTAAGCTCCTTCAAGGCACATTCTCTGGTGATATGGTTTAGAAGGTGAAAGTCAACACTGATTAATCATCTAGTCTTAAGTAGTTTTTAGAAAGGGTTGTTGTGTCATTTCAGTCATGTCTGATTCTTCATGACCCCACTTGGGATTTTCTTGGCAAAGATACTAGAGTGATTTGCCATTTCCTTCTCCAACAAAGGGTTTGTTTTTGGTTTTGGTTTTGGTTTTGGTTTGTTTTTTTAAGAGGGTGCTCCAACAGCAGTAGCAGGGACTGAAGGGTGGCAAATGGCCAAGGACCCATCTTTTCAAAACTAACATTCCACAGGTACTGCTATATGACACAGAGATATGGAACATAATTGCCCCTGAAGAATTAAAAATGAGTCTCCCAAAGAGAGCAAAGGAGAGGCATACAGTAGGTATAAATAGACTGAAGTATGTAATTAATGAAGAACACAAGAGTAAAAGATATCATTAGGGAATCATAAGATAGGGAGAGAAAATGGGTTGGTCACATGACAAGAATGAGAATTGATGGGAGTGCTCTTCTGGAATCCTTGCCATGTCAGAAGAAAGCAAGGAATGTCACCATCCTGTTGGATGGACCAGCTGAGGTGAATTTATGGGAGGACATGGACAAGAGTGACACAAGATGGGCAAGCTTGACTAGGGGAGAATCTATATCATTAGAAGGAACTTTAGAATTGAGAAGATCATTCATCTATTTTAGTATTTGAACATTTGAGAAGTCAAGGTGCTTCTATGCTAGACACTATTAAAACTACCATACTAGGCAACTAGGTGAAATAGTGGATAAAGTGGCTGACCTGGGTCTTACCCAAATCAGACACTTACCACTTGTGTGAGCCTGGGCAAGTCATTTGACATTTATTAGCTTCACTGTCCTCATTTATAAAATAACAGTTGTAGTACTTTGAAGATCAAATGAAATAATGTATATAAAGCACTTTGCCAACCTTAAAAAGCCACACAAATGTTAGTTACTATTGCTTTTCCCCAGTGGGAAACTTTGGCATTATGTCTCTTTTCTCTATCTCCTTTGGTCTCTCTTTACATCCTTAGTCACCAAATCTTACTGATTCTGTCCTAGAGGGTTCTTTCTTCTAAAGGGACTGGTCCTTTCTTCTCCATTCCCTGGACCTCCATTCTATTCTAGGCACTTTACCTTAAACTACTCTAGGAATCTCTTCCTTGGTCTTCCTGCCTCCTATTCCTCCTGTATCCAATCCCTCTTTCACATTGCTGTAGATGACACTCCTCAAAATGGCAATTTCACCACATTATTTATCTGCTGCAGATCCTACAATGCCCTCTTACTGTCAGTGAATCAAGTCCCACTCTCTCAGGCTCGCATTTAAAGACCTTCCATGTTGTGGCCTCTCTACCTACCCAGTCTTATCTCCATCACTAACAGTGTTTCACAAACTCATTTTCACCTCCAAAATTATGCTCATGCTTTTGGCCCCTTCTCACTTCTCAACATAGACTGTCCTGCCAATGCAAATTCTACCCATCCTTCTTCCAGATTGAGGTCTTCTTCCTCTATTTAATATTCTCCAATTGTTCCAGGTCATTGTAATATTTTCTTCTTTAGCGTTCTTATTGTACTTAGAATGTGTATTATATGGTCTCCATATTATCTTATTTTATCTTCTAAGAATTTAATGAATATCTTATCTAAGAGACAGCCTGGTGCTGTAGGAAAAAAAACATTGGATTTGGAATCTGAGGACCTAGGTTCAAATCCCCACTCTGCTACTAGCTAGTTGTGTGACTTTGGTCAAGACAAGTCACCTCTCTGGGCCCCAGATTTCTCATATGTAAAAGGAAGGAATTTGAAAAAGATGATCCCTTGTGACTCTAAATCTATGACTCTAGGAGCCATACAGTCAGGGACTCTCATCTTTTCTACTCTAATTTTATGCCCAACAGAGTCTAGGGCAGTACTAGTCCTATGTTTAGAACCTATTCATTAAACACTTTTTATTCAAGAATATTCATCAATGAAACATAATCAAAATACTGTACTCTCTTGGGAACCCTGAACAAAAATTCAACTTGTATTGACATAGACTGAGACATAAATAGTTAAGTTTCCTCATGTGTAAAATGAAGTGGTTGGATGAGGTGACCTGCAGAGTCTCTTCTAGCTCTGAATCTATGATCCTATGAGGTATGACTATTAACTCAAACTTTATAGCAACCATTGATGGGGAGGAAGAAGACTCAAGGCATTTTCTTATAAACCTATCATTGATAATACATTCCCTTTGTCATTTCTGTTAGCTTTAAAGAAACACTACAGGTAAGCTATTAATGAGAACACCAGTGCAATCATAACCTATAAATGTTTCCAAGACATCCAAAACAGTTTCATTTAATTATATAATCATTGATTTTTTTCCCCCAGATTTATATTAGTAAGTCTATTTTTTTCCAACACTCACTGTTCCTTTTCTTTGGATGAGGCTGTCATAATTAGTTGATTTTTCCAATCCAGGCACATCCCCACTGCTGCAGAACAGATAACAGAAACATTACTTTTCAACCAGACACTTGTCTCTTTCTTAGCATAAGAATGATCTTTCCTTCATGGCTGGGTTGTCTGAATGGAATACAACACTTATTTAAAAATACTCCCCTGAGTCATTTATTCATAACTGGTAGGTAACACCTGCACAGTTTAAAAATGCATTTCTGTAACTGAATATCAATTTCCTTGTCTTTTTAGACCTCTTAAAAGGAAGGTTATGGTGTCATCTGTACAATAAACTCCTAGTGGTGTGGGTTATGGAAACACTAGCTTTTTTTCCCCCTGACTTCTGAATATTAAAATACCGTTTCAGAAAAAGCATTAGCATACCAGTGGCCGTTTTGATTGACTGAGATAAAACCCTCCATAAAGTAAGAAATCTGATAATAAAAGATCAGGAGGCACATTTTATTGTACCCTCTATTTTTATGCTTCATAACATTCACTGATTCATTCACCAATCATTTGCTAAGTGGCTACTGTGTAAAAGGCACTGGGATGAGGCACTGGGGGAAAGACAGGGACACAGGCATTGTATTCATATAAGACCGGCATATTACCTTCCCTGAGCGGATTTACACATAATGTATGACCACCCTTTACTAACGGGTTCTATAGCATTTGAAAAACTCACACTTTGTGCCAGTGGATAAAGACAGAACTTCTGAGGTCCTGTCTTCTATATTTTGTCCTGAAGCTGACCTGAGCCTAGCCTGAAATTTGGGAAAGACGCCTCAGCTCCATTCCAGCAAGTTATATAGCTGTTGGCTCTACTTCTTTTTTTATGCATCTCTGAAGTAGAAGAAAAAGTAAAGTAGTAGGGTTTTGGAGCTGTTGCTATACTCCAGGAGGTGAAGATAAACCTGGGACCTGGAGCAGGGAAGGCATGGAAATAGCTGCTTTATTCTTACATGGGAGAATTTCTGCAATCACTTCTTATGCCAATGAAATCACAGATCTGAACCAAAAAAATTCTACTTATTGTGCACAGAAAGCTAACCTCTGAAGGTTCACAATAGCCCTTTTTCTGATCCTGATGCTATCTAATTGGGCAGAACAATTGATACCAACTTGACAGTGCTTCCATGTAATAATAAATATTACATGTAATTTCATAAAACCGTTTGGATAGATTAAGCATTCCAGAAATGCTAACTCACTATAAAATCAAGTTTTACATGTTTCATCATCAAATTCTCCTTTCAGTATTTTTTACCTGCTAGTCATATTATTTGGGACTTTGCCATGGAAAGGGGTGTGATGGAAAGTGAGAACAGTGAGGAGTAGAGGAGACAACAGTAACATCAAGGTTTTGTTGGTAGAAAAAAATGTGTACAGCTAGGATGAGGAGGACTGTAACACAGAGGGAGACCAGAAAGTCAAGAAATTTCAAATGATTTAGGAAATATATTTGTCATCTTCAAATGACATCTTGACAGGGTGGGATAATAATTTAGTTTCTCCAGGTGGTATTTATAAACTGCCCATTGCCACTAAATCTGGGACATTGTATAAATAAAGACAGAATAAATCAAAATGGGCATAATGCCTAGAACACATCAAGAAGGCAAAAGAGTGCCAAGGAAAAGAAAGTTCTGAAAATGAAAGGCTGGTGAAAAGTGGAACCTAATCCTAAAACTATTTATAAACTTCTAAAGAGGGTACTTAAAAATCTCACTGCCTCCAGGAAGCCTTCCCAATAATAATTTAATAATTGTCACCACAATTCAACTTTATACAAACATGCACTTCCCTTACTACCCTGTTTACTAAATTCTCGTACTCCTTTGCTGAACCACAATATAAATATTTATATATATAGTGACCATACTTTCCAAACACCAAATCAGGACACATGATCTAAGAAAAGATAATCCTTTCGCAACCCTTATTAAAAACACACTTTCTTTCCTTGCAATTGGGACTGTTCTGAATCTTCTGGGACACATATAAATCCCATCAGCAAGCTTTATTAAGCACCTATTCTGTGCCAGGCATTGTGCTACATAATTGATGGACAAATAGATAGATAGATAGATAGATAGATAGATAGATAGATAGATAGATAGATAATTTATCTATATATTACTTGAGGCAGCAGAGATAGAATGGTGGGCCTGGAGTAGAAAGACCTAAGTTCAAATTCAACCTCAGACACTTATTATCTGGGTGACCCAAGGCAAGTCATTCATCCTCTGTTTGCCTCAGTTTCCTCATTTGTAAAATGAGTTGGAAAAGGAAGTGGCAAACCACTCTGGTATGTCTGCCAAGAAAACCCCAAATGGGGTTATAAAGAGTCAGACATGACTGAACAACAACAAAAATTTTGTGTTTTCTAATCTCTTCTATTCCATGTGTGGTTACACATTCTTTTCCTATCCGTAGCCATGATGGATAAAACCTTCCATTCTCCTCAAATACATACATATATACATACATATGCATATATATATATATATATATATACACACACACACACACACACACACACACACATATATGTATGTGGCACATATAAGAGAAGAAAAAGAATAAGCAAATACCTATTAAGCACCTACTATATGCCAGGCAATGTACTAAGTGCTTCATAATGCCCATTACTTTTTTCCTTTTCCTGCCCTTTTCTTTATAATGTGCTAGCTATTATGTTAAGTGTGAAGAATACAAATACAAAAATGAAATGGTCCCTACTCTCAGTGACATTCCCTTCTACTAGGACATGACATGTTCATGGACAAGCAAATTCAAGATATTACAAAATAAACACAAAATGATCATGTGACTATGTCAACATGATGCTAGACCACTCATCGTTGGTTCTGAGGCCTATATGTCTTTGATACATCTATCCAAGTCAGCATAGTCTGTCTTCCAGTGTATGCTGGAATGCACTCCCTCCTTACCTCTATCTCATAGAATCCCTCCCTTCAAGACTCAGCTCAAGCATTACCTTCTACATGAAGCCTTTCTTGATCTACCCAGATGCTTATGACTTGCTTCCCACACTACCCTGTATTCGTTTTGTATGTATTTTGTATAACCTTATGTGACAGGGTTTTGTGGGTAGGTCACACTCACATGTAGCCTACACGGAGTTACTTGAATCATAATTACCACATTGATTCTCACCATCCTTCCTATAAGGTAATCTCAGGGTTTGTTTGGATATTTATTAATTACCAAAATTGCAACCTCTCTCATTAATTAATCAATTAGCTCATTTCTGCCCCACTTTCTTTAAAATTAAATATTTAATAAACTAGAGAAACCTCTTTTCCCATAGGCAGCTGCTCATCTCTTTCTTTATATCAAAACCTATAATCGCCTAGACTTAAATAAAGATCAAAGCTACTGTATATACAATTTATGAACTTTGTAATAAATAATAACACAGAAACATAAGCAATTGTTTACAATACTGTAATTACAATTGTTTCAACTTTAAGAAAGATCACAACCAGAGTCACCTCTCTCTAATGACTCCTGCTCACTTCTGGAACAGCTCCAATTTTCACTTCACTCAGGATACCAATTAAAGAGTCTTCTCAAGAATTATCTTCATCTTCTTTGAAATTTAATTATTGTCAGTTGTCTACATAAAATATCTCTTCAACCTCTTTTTCTCAGTCTTCTCATAGATTCTCTTCAGCCATCATTCTTAAAAGTATTTCCAGAATGACAGTTAAACTGCCCGTAGCTTAATATTCTATTGTTTTTCCTAAAGGAACAATAGTATTGTCTATTATATCTGAGGGGAAGGCCTTTGAAGCTGGTGTTCTATTTATATGTGTACACGTTATCTCCACTGATAGAATGTTCCTTGAAGACAGGGACTGTTTCATTTTTGTCTTTGTATCCCCTACACATGGTAGGTGCTTAACAAATCTCATTGATTTTCTGATTCTACTTAAACTAGAGGCTAAGACCTGCAACTGATTAACTTGCTACCTCTAGAACCTAACACAACATACTCAGGCACTCACTGGGCCATTCTAACAACATCAGGAGCTGAGTTTCCATCAATGTCCAGAAATGGAGATACTAATGATAAAGACTCTGTCATTGTCTAGTTTAGGTTAAAAGCAAAGACAAAAGACTCTTACTCCTTTTCCTCCCCCAATAGGCCCCTGTTCAACACCAGCAGCTTTGGAGGTGTGCGGACATTCAACTACTTGGACCTCGACCCTATGCCACTGGTTCAATCCATTCCCTTCCATCCAGCCATGCATCAATTAATTCATTAGATATTTAATTATAATATGCAAATCACCATACTAGACACTGAGAGAGATATAAAAGTTAAAAAGAAATGGGTTTTTTGCAGGTTTTTCTTAACCCACAAAGTTTACAATTAACTAAAAGAATGTATTGTTGTCTCTTTTCCCTTTGTAGGCAGTTCAATTCATAAATTAAAAGCCTGCTATATATAAAACACTGACATAGATGCTTAAGATAAGTAACAGCTATCACTGCTGAATTATTTGCTAGTTTCCTCTAAATTGGGGGAAAACTATAATATTCAATTAAATTTGGGATTTCATCCATCAAAATGCCCATGTAGGATGAATAGAAAACTATTTCATAGTTGCTAGGATAGAAGATAGAGAATTAAATGCATAGCCTTACCTAAACTTGTAAAAGCAAAAACTTAACTGCCTCCTTACACAGAGGAAAAACCTTCAGCTGTCCTGTACATCCATTACAATGCTAAGGTTCTAAAGTAAATGGCAAGTAATGGGTCAAAAGGTAGTTTTGCTGAGAACTGCTAAGTACTTTAAAATAAATTTATGTCATCTAAAGGGCTGCTGAAAGGGAAGCAATGTGGCACAATGGAAGGAATTATCCAGACATCTGCTGCAGCTCTCTCTCTTTCTCAGTCAAATGCAGAACAGCTAATAACTTCTTAACTTGCCACCAGTGACAAGTTCATTCTTCAAAAGACGGAGGTACAAATAAGGGAAAATTCTGTTCTGGATCTGAA